GAGGCCTGCTGTGGTGCAGGAACTGCCACCCTTGGGCGAAGAAGGGAGAACACCACACGTGCTAGGGGCTTTGTGTGACACTGCATGCTTTGGCAGGCTTAGAATTTTAAAACTCTGACTTCTTAATCCAAGCAGAGAAAAATACCATGGTCCTGACACTTCGACCTAGTCTTTGTAAAATGCTGTTCCTGGTGTATCATCCATATTGAGTGTTCAGGCGACTGAATTTACTAGGCAAAGTGGGTGTGATTCCTTTCTGTACAGTTAATGCCCCACCCCCCACTGAAAGGGGAGGCCTGTGTGACAAGTGACAGGTAGACAGCCAGTAGCTGCTGGGGCCAGTGAACGCCGCAGCTGTGATCTCTGTGTCTCGGGAGACCAGGTCTGTGTGGATTTGATAAAGCTTCTGAACCATCCTAGGTGGTTTTGTAGTATTGATTCATGCTGAGAGTGGAAGGAAAAACAATTAGTAGATTTTTCCTGGGATGGTGAACTTAAGTCTTCGAATAGAAACTCAAACTCTCTTTTTCTTACCAGGTTATTAAACAGGAGGCCTTTCCTTGTTTAGTAAATTGTGGGGTTTTTTAAAACATTTTTTAGATTCATTTGTTTATTTGAAAGAATTACAGAAAGGAAGAGACACAAAGAGTTGATCTTCCATCCACTGGTTCACTCCCCAGAGGGCCACAACAGCAAAGGCTGGGTTGGGCTGGGGCCAGGAGTTTCATCCCTGGTCTCCTACACGGGTGGCGGGAGCCCAAACACTCAGGCCATATTCCGCCATTTTCCCCAGCACATTAGCAGGGAGCTGGATCAGAATTGGAGCAGCCAGGACATGAACCAGCACCCATATGGGATGCAAGTGGTGGCTTCACCTGCTATGCCACAATGCTGGTACCAATTTGTTTTTTTTTTTTTTTTTAGATTTTATTTAATTACTTTAGAGGCAGAGTTATATATAGAGAGGTCTTTTTGTTTTTGTTTTGTTTTGACAGGCAGAGTGGACAGTGAGAGAGAGACAGAGAGAAAGGTCTTCCTTTTGCCGTTGGTTCACCCTCCAATGGCTGCTGCGGCCGGCACACTGCGGCCGGCGCACTGCACTGATCCGAAGCCAGGAGCCAGGTGCTTCTCCTGGTCTCCCATGGGGTGCAGGGCCCAAGGACTTGGGCCATCCTCCACTGCACTCCTGGGTCACAGCAGACAGCTGGATTGGAAGAGGAGCAACTGGGACAGAAGCCAGTGCCCTGACTGGGACTAGAACCTGGGGTGCTGGCGCCACAGGTGGAGGATTAGCCTATTGAATCGTGGCGTGGCGCTGGCCAGAGAGAGAGGTCTTACATTCACTGGGTCACTCCTCAAGTGCCTGCAACGGCCAGAACTGGGCCAGTTTGAATCCAGGAGCCAGGAGCTTCTTCCGAGTCTCCCACACAGGTGCAGAGACCCAAGCACTTGGGCCATCTTCTACTGCTTTCTCAGGCCATAAGCAAAGAGTTGGATCAGAAGAGGAGCAGCTGGTACATGAACTGGTACCACAGGCAGAGGCGTAGACTACTGTGCCATAGCACTGGCCTCCGCAAGTTGTATTCTCAAAGTTAACTTCAAACTCTGAAAATATGATTTTGATTGTGAAGCAAAGTACTTTTTCATGGTTGCTTCAATATAATGTTTGTGGAGGCAGCATAAATACTTTGATTTTTTTTAATGTATAATATCCAAAGAAACTTAAGTTTTTGATAGTAGAATGAAAATATGTCTATTTTGGTACAAAATTTTTTTCAAAATGCATGAGTAATTTTTTCATAATACTCATTTTTATTTTTTATTTATTTTAAAAGATTTTATTTATTTATTTGAAAGTTGGAGTTACACAGAGAAAGAAGGAAAGGCAGACAGAGAGAGGTCTTCCATCCGCTGGTTCACTCCTCAGTTGGCCGTAACAGCTGGAGCCACGCCGATCACAGCAAGGAGCCAGGAACTTCTTCTGGGTCTCTCACGTGGGTGCAGGGACCCAAGGACTTGGGCCATCTTTTTTTTTTTTTTTTTTAACAGGCAGAGTGGACAGTGAGAGAGACAGAGAGAAAGGTCTTCCTTTTGCCGTTGGTTTACCCTCCAATGGCCGCCGCGGCCAGCACGCTGCAGCCGGCGCACCGCGCCTATCCGAAGGCAGGAGCCAGGCGCCAGGTGCTTCTCCTGGTCTCCCATGGGGTGCAGGGCCCATGCACTTGGGCCATCCTCCACTGCACTCCCAGGCCACAGCAGAGAGCTGGCCTGAAAGAGGGGCAACCGGGACAGAATCCAGTGCCCCGACCGGGACTAGAACCCAGTGTGCCGGCGCCACTAGGTGGAGGATTAGCCTATTGAGCCGCGGTGCCGGCCATTGGGCCATCTTGTACTGCTTTCCCAGGCCGTAGCAGAGAGCTGGATCAGAAGTGGAGCAGCTGGGACTCAAACCGGCGACCACATGGGATGCTGGCACTGTAGGCCATGGCTTTACTGCAATGCAACAGTGCTGCCCTCAATAATACTCATTTTCCATGATCTTTTTGAAGACTTATACTCGTGGAGTTTAAAAATTTTTTGTAAAGATTTGTTTACTTGAAAGGCAGAGTTACAGAGATAGATCTTCTGTTCTCACATGGCTGCAATGGCCAGTGCTGGGCAAGGCTGAAGCCAGGAGCCAGGAGCTTCGTCTGGGTCTCCCACATGGGTGGTAAGGGTCCAGGTATTTGGGCCATCTTCTGCTGCTTTCCCAGGCGTGTTAGCAGGGAGCTGGATCACAAGTGGAGCAGCGAGGACTTAACTGGCATCCGTATGTGATCCTGGCTCTGTAGGTGGTGGTTTAACCTGCTGTGCCACACCTCTGGCCCTCAAAATATTTTTTGCGCCAATATAAACTTATCTTTTCATTGAATTTTCCATAAACTTTTTGAAGTCCTCTTGTACACAACAAAGGTTGCTATTTTATCCCTCTTGCATGTATAATTTGGTGGTGTCAGACACACTCATGCTATTGTGTAGCTATCACCATGTCCATCTCTGGAACTTGTCATTCCAAACAGAAACTCCGCAATCACTAAATACTTCCCTTTCCCCCTCTCCCTGCAGCCCTCGATGGGCACTGTTTTACTTTCTTTATGAATTTGATTCAGTAGCTCACCAAAGTTGAGTTGTATAATATTTCTTTTGTTGTGTCTGGCTTTCTGCACTTAGCATACTGTCTTCAAAATTCATTCATGTCAGAGCAAGTATCAGAATTTGATTCCTTTGTATTGCCTAATACAGTCATATATATATATATTCGTATGTATATCACATGTATTGATTTGTTGATGGACGTTTGAGGTGTTTCCACCATGTGACTGTTTTAAATAATCCTATGAGTGAACTTGGCTGCACAAAGTATGTGTCAGTCTCTGCTTTCAGTTCTTTGGGATATATGCCTAGAAGTAGAATTGCTGGATCATGTGGTAATTCTATGTTTAAAATTTTAGGGGAAAAATTAAAAACTTTTAGGGAACCATCAGACTTTCTCATAGTAGTTGCTCCATTATGCATTCTCTTTGTTAGCACACAAAGGCTGTAGTGTCTCCACATCCTCACAGGTACTTTCTGTTTTTTTTTTTTTTTATTAATAGACATATTAATGGATATAAAGTGGTATCTACATGTAGTTCTGATTTGCATTTCCCTGTCAAAACTATTGTAATGAAAGATTATATGGTCTGAATATATATAATTTATTATTTTGTTAAAGAATTCACATCCATGTTTTTAAAAAACAGTGCTGTGAAGGTTGGGAAATGGCCAGCCTAAGTGATTGAGAAGGTGGCTATGGGTTGCAGAGGCTGTTCCCTCCTGCTCAGGCAGTGCTACGCTGTGCTTCCCAGGCAGCTAGAGGACATGGCCCCTGAGCCTGGAGCCTAGTGCCCGAGAGGATCTGATCTGGGGCTTTATTCCCAGACACAGAGCTGGTGGCTGGCAACCCCCACCCATTGGAGGCCAGGATGCATGACAGACAGCAGGACAAGACATTTCAAGTTGAGATTCTTGGGGAAGCTTTGGGACTTTTATTTTGCTTCATTTCCTTTACACAATAAAGAAAAAAATCAGTGTATGTTTTACACTGCTGATTTTTTTTTAACTTTTATTTAATAAATATAAATTTCCAAAGTACAGCTTATGGATTACATGGTTCCCCCTCCCCCATAACTTCCCTCCCACCCACAACCCTCCCATCTCCCGATCCCTCCCATTCCATTTGCATCAAGATTCATTTTCAATTATCTTTATATACAGAAGATCAACTTAGTATATATTAAGATTTCAACAGTTTGCACCCACCCAGAAACATAGTGTAAAATACTGTTTGAGTACTAGTTATAGCATTAATTCACATTGAGCAACACATTAAGGACAGAGATCCTACATGAAGAGTAAGTGCACAGTGACTCCTGTTGTTGACTTAACAAATTGACACTCTTGTTTATGGCGTCATTAATCTCCCTAGGCTCTTGTCATGAGTTGCCAAGGCTATGGGAGCCTTTTGAGTTTGCCGACTCCGATCTTATTTAGATAAGGTCATAGTCAAAGTGGAAGTTCTCGCCTCCCTTCAGAGAAAGATACCTCCTTCTTTGGTGGCCCGTTCTTTCCACTGGAATCTCACTCACAGAGATCTTTCATTTAGTTTTTATTGATTGATTGATTGATTGATTGCCAGAGTGTCTTGGCTTTCCATGCCTGTAATACTCTCATGGGCTCTTCAGCCAGATCCGAATGCCTTAAGGGCTGATTCTGAGGCCAGAGTGCTGTTTAGGACATCTGCCATTCTATGTACACTGCAGATTATAAAGTGTATGTCTGAACTGAGGAGTTTTTTTGGTTTTGGTTTTTTTTTTGAGATTTTCTTTTATTTTTATTTGACAGGCAGAATGGACAGTGAGAGAGAGAGACAGAGAGAAAGGTCTTCCTTTGCCGTTGGTTCACCCTCCAATGGCCACCGCCGCCAGTGCGCTGCAGCCGGCGCACTGCACTTATCCGAAGCCAGGAGCCAGGTGCTTCTCCTGGTCTCCCATGGGGTGCAGGGCCCAAGGACTTGGGCCATCCTCCACTGCCTTCCTGGGCAATAGCAGAGAGTTGGCCTGGAAGAGGGGCAACCGGGACAGAATCTGGCACCCCGACTGGGACTAGAACCCCGTGTGCTGGCACCGCAGGCAGAGGATTAGCCTATTGAGCCACGGCGCTGGCCTTGAGGAGATTTTGATGAGTAGTGTTTTAAGATTCTGAGCATGAAAGGAGGTAAGGTGTGAGTTGTGATGGAAGACGGCTATTTGATCTTTTGGCTTACCCAGTGTATTTTAGCAATAATAGGTTCATGGCAGTGCTTGAGCTCTGGAGAGCTGTGTGTAAGGTTGCCATGCTTTTTATTTCTCCCAGCCCAGATCTCCTGGGAGGAAAATTTAGTGCAGTTACTAATGTTTGAGCAAACTCAGGGATAGAACAGCTAGCTGCTGTTAGTTGACGTCCCTTTAATGGTAAACTCACTGTCCATACATATTCTTGTTGAGAAAGATTTAGCCTATATTGTTGATACCTTTTATACAATTTTTTCCTAACAGAGCATCTTGTTAGACAGGCACTAAAACCAAGCAATGCACTAAAATTGTATAATGATGATACAAGAAGAACAGCGCCCTTATGTAAGGGAGGCTTGTGTCAAGGGTAACTTCTGCTATGAGTACTCCTTTGAATCTGATTCACTGTAGAAGAGAGTTGACATCACTGGCAGCTCTGGATAGTCATATGCAATTTTGCTTGTTTTCTCTTAGCAATATGCAATTTTTTATGTCCCAAGATAGTGGGGGTAGTAAAAAATTCATAAACTATTGCAGCTAAATGAAGGTTAACACTGTGATACTCCTTTTACTTGTTGCTCCGACACTTTGCCTTTCTGCTAGTAGCTTGTAATCACCCACTTGATCTCTAAAAACTACTATTAACATGGTTATTAAAGTCCTGAACTCGACTCTGGTTTACTTTTAGGGCACTTGCTATTACTCTTAGGTCTGTGATATGGATTAAAATGTCCCCCTCTTTCTCATTTAGAACGACTCTGCTCGTGGTGATTACATGCAAAGTAATGAGACCAATTTAATAGAACAAGCCCCAGTACCTCAGGATGGACTTCCCATGGCGCCTCACAGAGCTCAGCGAGAAGGTATGCTGTAGCTTTTGCAAACTTCAAGCCCCCACTGTGGGAAGATTGCAGGGTGCTGTTGATGCTGATCAGCTCTTAACTCCTCAGTCTCCTTTGGAGCAGAGAGGTCCTGCCACTGCTAAGTGTCGCTCTAAAGCCAGTCCTCCCACTTCTGTCTGCATCCTGGGCTCCTCGTGCTCCATAGCCCTTGGCTTGTCCTAGCACACGGTGACTTCTTCTGCTCAGTTGTCTTTTTGGCTGTATCTTAAAACCTGTGTACTTCTAGAGGACAAGGACTTTATCATTTTCCCAAAGTATTCAGTGTGGTAGTTTATCTGTAGAATGTGCTCAGTGTCTGCTGAGAAAAAAAAATAAGTTTTACAGAAGTGAAGAAATGTCCTATGAATCTATTCTTCCTGCAATAATGCATCTGGGATGGAGGAGTGAGAGGACATTGCCTTCTAAAAAGACACAAATTCAGATATTCTCTGTGCATTTGGAGAGTCCATTAACATGTACTTGGAGAAAAATGGAAATGGAAGATGTTGCTTGTTATCTGAGCTTTGGAAGAGCCAAGGAGATGCAGTGAACATTACACCCAGTTACAACAATTTTGGATTTACATCAGTATGTCTCCTTTTTGTCCCAGTAATAATCTTTTCTGTAGAATTCGTTTTTTCTCACATAGGCAAAATAGGGCTGGAAGTTTAATGTTAAAAGCCATGGACTTAATTACCACTTCCACTCAAGACGATCATAGTACCCCCATCTCTCCAGGTAAACTGTTTGAATCATAGACTACTCCATCTAAGCCCGTTGAATGCACGAGTAACCTAAAGCAGAATCTGGTTTTACAGTGAAGGTTGTCCTTATTTTTAAATACATAGATTTTAGAAAAACATAAAGATTATATAAAAATGCTAGCAATACTGTAAGGTGGTATTTTCTTATATTGTAAATTAAAAAAAAAATGTGTGGAGGCTCTCATTATCAACCATTCCTCACCATTCCTCTCCTGTCTTGGCTTACCTTCATTCTGATAGATAACAGCAAGTGTAGCTTGAAATTGAGGCTGGAGCTATTGCCTGATTTCCATATCATGTAATGTCATAGTGACTTCTTTGCTAAGTCTGAGATCTGACCAAAAAAACCTCAAGGTCCCCCATCCTAAGCCTAGTGGTTTACACACAGGTCAGAGCCAGGAGCCTGGAATGCAATCCAGGCCTCCCTCACGTGGTGTCAGGGATTCAAGCCACCATGTGCTCCCTCCTAGGGTGTTCATTACAGGAAAGTGGATCAGAAACGTAGGAGCTGGGACAAACCAGGCACTCCAGTATAGGCTGCAGGCATCCCAAGCCGTAACTCCAATCATTATGCCAAAAGTGGGCCCCAGAAGCCCCACTTTTCAGTACTTAATTTACCTGCAGTAGCTTTTGGAACCAGCAGAGCCTCCCACCTGCGCTGTGGCCTTTGTAACATTGCACAGGTCTGAGGAGAGACGGGCTTTTCACCTGACTTTTTAAGATTTTCTTTTGTCTGCACCCTCAACATTTCTGGCCCACAAAGGGAACTTGTCCCAGAAAGCCACACCACACACTCTGTTTGGAGAGCTGCCCCACAGAATACTAGTAGTGATGCCTCCTTTGTTTATATGAGCAGCTGCTTCTCTGCATCTTCCTGTGTCTTGTGCGTACTGCCTTCTCATTGCCCACCTCCCATGGCCTATGACGATCTTATTTCCTCCTCTGTACTTCTGTCACTCTATATAATGTACTTCATCCATTGGAGTTTCTTCTCAACTCAGGCAGAACTACAGCTTCTCCTCTTTCTCATCTCCTGCTCGCCTGAGCCCCACTGCAGTAATTTTCCTTCCTTCTTCCCTGCGGCCTTTATCATTTTCATTATCATCAGCCTCTGATCTGACTCCGCCTGGTATCCAGCAAGGACTGTTTCCTCTGTTACACCCTGAGCAGCGATCTTTTTTCTTAGGTCCTTGTAGTGTATTCAGTAGGTTGGCTTTTTTAACGTGATTTATTTCCTAATATGTAGCACTTTTACTAAAATACTTTTACTAAAGAAGATATAACAGAAGTGGTTGGAGCGTTTGTCCCTTTGCTTACTTTACGGTTATCTAGTTCAAGTTACACTAACTGCTTTTAAGTTTAATGTCATTCATGTCCACTATTTGATCTCTAAAATTGCAAAAAATTTTGCTACGATAATCCTGCACAGTTCATTATATTGTTCAGGTTTTATTATAACTTATCATTATATGATTTTAAGGGCCATGTTTGAGAAAAGCATTTTAATTAGGCAGAAATTGTCAGCTTGTTATATTACTTCTAATACTTTAATTAAAAATAAAACTAGGTATTTTCTACTTTATACTTATTAAGTATAAGTAATTGAACCATGAATAAAGTACTTTATTCGTGGTAATATGAATAAGTGTTTAAGATTATCATTTAGAAAACTATCTCCAGGCATCTTTATTCTTTGTGTCTTTTTATCATTGGTGTCAGCAGACTTAGGGGTGAGTGGAATTAGAACACATTACTTCGTGGAGGGACGGGACCACTGCTATGCTTCTGTTGTTCATTTTAAGACTTAAGGCCAGTAGTAAAGAAGAAAGTGACTTGTTAAGCACCTGTCAAATTATAGGGTTATTTAGGTAACTGAAATGTTTATCAGGTCTCTGTAGAACCAGTCAGCGTATTTTTTTTTTTTTTCTTTCAGCTGTACACATTGAGAAGATAATGTTGAAAGGAGTCCAGAGAAAAAGGGCTGACAAATATTGGGAGTACACTTTCAAAGTAAGCTAAATCACTTGGAAAAGATACTCCATTACCATGTTAAATAACCTTTGGAAAAACTTATGGCAGGTTTGCTAATTCAAGGAGAAAAATTGTGTATTTATTTGTTTTTAATTAGGGAAATGTATTGTTTAGTAGATACTGCATGATTTGCCAAGTCTTTCTTTTTAAAATTGTATCACATTAAAATTACTCTGGCAATTTATTTAAAAAGAAATAAACCTTAGATTTAGGGAGACAGTTAAGTGGTAAGATGTGTCTTTAAAAAGTAAACATTTTCACCATTATTTTAAAAATACAGGTCGTGGGTGTTGTCTTCCCTTTTTCTCCTTCTCTCCTTTCTCCTGGACATTTTCACTCTTGGTTTGTTGCCTTAACTGTCATTGCTGTCTGTCGTCCGTCCCTCAGTCAGTCAGGGTCTGACTCACCGCCCAGCTCCGCTCAGCCCTCGTGCTGTTACTCCCAGGATAAGACTCTGCAGGTCTCCTCTTAGCCTGCCAGCTGGATTCTTTGTTCACATCTTCCTTGTTGCTCTGTGCTGGGGCTTCACTGACGAGCCTTTCTCCTGAGTTTGGAGGGCATGCACCCTGGAGCCACGTGGATGCCACCGTGTCCCTGCTTCCTCAGTGCTGTTCCTCCCCAGAGGCATTGCTACCACGGGGTAGCTGCATCTCTCTCTCCTGGAGTCCCTCCCTTCCTCCTTCATCTCAGGATAGCACCCTCATGGCTCTCACAGGTCTTCCGGCGGCGATCACCTGGCGAAGAGCAGGAGTCTTCATCCTCTGCCATCTCGTGTCCGACCTGCTCAGTACAGTTGTTGGGTGCACTTCAGAACTCTGCCTTCTGCTCCGAGGGGAACATGTCCTCAGAGTGTAGACTTGGAGACCTCATCTGCACGTGCCTCCCTTGCTGCGCGTGTTCGCTGTGCTCTCTGTACTCAGCCTTGCCCGCTCTCCCTGTGTCGCTGGAGCTCACAGCGGGTTCCCTCCCTGGCTTCGCAGTCCCTCACAAGAGATGCTCTTCCCCTAGAGGGAGGCGCAGCTGGCATCCTGCTCAGACGCTGCCTCCTCTGAGGGCCTTCTTGGCACCTCCGTTACTCCGCCTCTGCCCTCCTCTTGTACCGTGCCCTGTTCATTTTCTCAGGAGCAGTGATCGCTGATGGAAACTCTTAAATGTCTGTTGCTTTATCTGTCTCCTGAACTAGGCTGAACTCAACCAGTGGAGGTTTCAGCTGTCTTGTCCGTTCCTGTGTCCCCTGACATGAGAGTCAGAAGAGGGCCTGGCACAGGTAGCTGTGCAGGGAGTGAGGGCTTTGAAGATCATTTTAAGCAGTGAGTCAGTTAGTGAGAGCTTTGCCTGAGGGTTGCTAGATCAAACTTGCTGTGCATTTTCAGGTGTCTGATTCTTTATATGATTAGTTGGCAAGGCCTCAGTATTAGCATAACCCAAATACTCACCTAGCTCAAATAATTATAGGATAGAAATTGCTAGAGGGCCGCACTTGAGTGCCTTGCACTGCATGATAAACGTCAGTTCCAGCTCCTGTGCTTGCTTAGGGCCACACCTCAGGAAGCTGAACCCTTTTGAGCTTTAGTTTCTGTTCCTGGAAAATGAAGGGAACAATAACTGCCTTGTAGACTCTTAATTAGATTGTAAAGATCTGGGGTAAAGATGGAACGTCTATCCCATACAGATGTGAAGCCATGTGACCAAAGAGGGGTGGTAAACTCTGTTACTTTTGTTACATTTAACCTGTGTCAGAAGACAGAGCTGTTATCTTTTGGGGGACATAGACCTGTGCAGGTAGAATTCTACATTCTATAATGTCACAAAAAGACGTGTTAGACATTTTCCTTTCTGAAAAATTACTGAAATATAATCACATTGTAAGAGAGCTTAAGAAACATGCAATTTGAAAGGCGTTATTAGAAAATTTCTTTAGTAAAATATGGCAATGTACAGTTATTTTTAAAAATTTTGGAGAAATTATGACAATGTCAGATTAACTATATTTTTGATTATTAATCTTAATAAAATTTAGGTAAGGCCATTTGTTTGACACCAGACTTTTTTCTAGCTAGATCCTGCCTAAGGAATAACCATATAATATGTGTGTTTTTTCTTAAATCAGGTAAATTGGTCTGATCTTTCAGTCACAACAGTAACAAAAACCCATCAAGAACTGCAGGAATTTCTACTGAAGGTAAAAGTATAGATTTTATTGTTAAAATGATTTTTACATAATATACAGAATCCAACACCTTAGTGTCCAAATGAACATGAGTTATGAAGCTTAGGTCCCAGCTGGTTCAGAACTCAGCAAACCTGAGTCTGAAGAAAACATCATATCGTCTAAACCAAGTCTTCTTATCTTGTGATAGCAGTGGAGGAAATGGTGAAGGGGTTTCCACGTACTCAGACCCTGCAGCTCTTCAGCTCCCCTTAAATATTTCTCCATTCCTTCCTCTTGAGTTCCAGCTTCCTCCACCCCCACCCCATCCCTGCCATGAATTAGGCTGTCTAAAATATTGGGACTAAGAAGAGAATGGGAACATCTTACACGCACTTGCAGAGGTGAGAGGTATCTTAGATCATTTTGTTTTGATCCTCGCCTGCTTTTTTGTTTTGTTTTTAAAGATTTATTTTTTTATTTGAAAGGCAGAGTTGGAGAGAGGGAGAACCCTCATTTGCTAGTTCATTTCCAGAATGGCCTCAACGGTGTCAAAACCAGGAGGCAGGTCTCCCACATGGGTGGCAGAGGCCCTGTCACTTGGGCCATCACCTGCTGCTTTCCCAGGCACATGAGCAGGGAGCTGGATCAGAAGTGGAGCATCTGGGACTCAAAGCAGCACATCTGTTGAGAGGCTGGTGTTGCAAGCTTAACCTGCTGTGCTGCAACGCTGGCCTCTCTCTTGCTGCTTATATCCCAGTTTGATTTTATTGAAAAAGTATGTGGGTGAAATGTGAAAAGGAAAGAATAGTTTTAAATGATCAATGACTGTTTCTCAGCAGATATTTTAAAATTTATCATTAATTGAGAGACAAACAAAAATCCCCAGAAATAGGAAACATCCCCAACTCAGTTACTGAGTTGGGACAAATTAATTATTGAACCTGTAGCATCTGAAATTTTCAGGTCAGGTCTGGTTTTTGAGTTGTCTTTTCATCATGTGTGGTTCTGTCTTTTCTTGGAGCTCAGAGCTGGTTTCTGCTCGGCTAGCAGAGTTTTGAGTGGTGTGAATGATGCTGCTTCTCAATGACCAAGTGTTGGTTCCGCTGGATTTCCCTCTGGATGAGGTGACTCCCAGGGATGAGTTGGGTGGTCCCATTTTCCTGGGCCCTATTTTCAACCAGGTTCTCTCTGTAAAGGGCTGGTATTCCTTCACTTAATCAAGTTGGTAACATGCATGCTTTTGAATATGGGAGTAGGTTGGCTGTTGGTGGTGTTCATTTTCGGTCACTGCAGGCCACGTCCCTTTGCCCTGTCAGCTCTGGACGGTGGGTGAGGAGGAAATGGTGGACAGTGAGTTTGTGCACACCAGCTCCCCTCTGCTCTGCTCAGTCATGGCCCCAGTCAGAAATGCCAGAGTGGCAGCATCCCTGCTGATGAAAGTGAACTCCTGGCTGGCATGTTGGGGGGATTAGGCAAGACTGCCCCCCCTTCTCACACACACACACACACACTCAATACTCACACGCTCACACTCACTCGCCCCTCCACAAACACTGTTCCTGTCTCTTGAAAGAATACTTTATCAAAAGGTGCGGCAAGTCAGCATGACTGGGCTTAACTTGGGTTTGGGAGCAGCCTGCATTCATGTCGCTTCCTCCCTCTGCTGTCCTTTCTGTGACAAGACTCCTGGAGACATTGCAGGGGTGCAGATCTGAAGCTGAGGAGTCTCGCAGGGGGATCTAGTGCAGCTGCCTTCCCAGGCCAAGTTGCTGGATGCTGATTTGTGGGGCAGGGTGTGTGCCAGTTGCCTGTCCCTCACCCTAGGAGCACTGATAACAGCATCTCCTTCTTACCCTGGATTTCTTGCATTAAGCTGAAGCCGTTGTGTGTCTTGACAGAGTTCATTTTTTCAGTCACAATTTTCCAAAAGCTTAAGTGCCCCCCCAAAAAAATTCCCCAAATAAGTTCACACTTCAGAATCGTGGTATTTATTGACCTCCCTGTTTGGCCAGTGATAGATTATAGTATTTTTCTAAAATGTTAGTTACATGAACCAGTGGGCGACATTGTGTTCTTGGAGCAGTGAACTACCTGTGGTAAGACACCCTTTGAAGTGTACTGTCCTCCTAAAGCCATTTACACACTCAAGAGCTGCCTGTACCTACCCTTGACAGCACTGGTGCTGCGTGTGGAGCTGTGTTCTTGCGGGCTGTGCTGTGCAAAACGAGTTCCAGGCAGGGTCCCTTTTCTGTTTAAGAACCTGGCCCCCCTACCTGCTTTGTCGTCTTAAAGTGTCAGCTCCTCGCAGTGGGTTGGAGCTGCTTCCCTTGCTGCCGTGTCCTAGAGCCTAAACTGGTGCCCAGGACAAGGTAGATGTTGGAATGCTTACGTACTGAGAGATTGAGTAAGTGAGCAGTGCTTGGAAAATTCAGCAGTAGTGAGTTTTATGGGTTGCTGTCCACTGGGCCTAGTTCCTACAGACAGGTTTGTGGTAGCCAGGTGCAGAAGCATTTCCTTACTCTGAGCTTGTGCTAAGGCTGAGCCAGACTCTGTCAATGTTGACAGGAACCGTTGGTGATTGAGTAGTTGAAAGTAACTTCTCCACTGAAGCTGGTTTTCTTTGGCTGTGTACAGATATTTAGTAGAAGTCATGTTTTAATAAATTGGTAATATCACACATGTCTACTGTCAGGAATCTATTGAAATGTTAATATCAAAGCATAAATATTGGAAAGAATGGGATTTCTTTGTTTGGAGAATGTTCTTCCTGTTAGTGGTCAGAGGACATGATCCCTGTGTGGAATGCCAGCAGAGCTGTCCGTCCTAACCAGGCTGAGCAGAGTCCCAGCAGGAGCCCTGTTCCGACACATGGCACAGTCTGCTGTGCCTGACATCAGGGAGTCCACTATGCCTTTGTTAACTTTTCCATTTCTGAAGCACAGACTCAGAATGCTTATTTTTTCAAAAGAAAAAATTACTTTGGATTTCTCAAATTGGAGCTCAATATGTAAAACAACAATCTATATTTGTTTTTACATTTCTGTGGCTCCTTAGACACTGCGTTGCTTCCTTAATTTTAGTGAAAGTGCCAATAATTCAGGAGTTAGTAGGAAAGATTAGTTATCAAAAGTCAGATTTAAGATTGAATTCTTGAAAGAAAGACATGGAACATTTATTTTACAAAGAATAAGTTTACTGCGGATCTTTTAAAGTTAAGGTAGCTAACTAAAATGAAATGATTTCTCATGGTCTCCAGCCCGTTGTGCTGCAAACACTTCTGTTGCACTGAGGAAAAGGTTACAAACCTCTAACTTGTGTTTCTAGTGCGGGAAAATTGAGAGCTTTCTCCTTGCGTTTGTGCTCAGTTCTTTATTTAGTACATAGCATTCGTTGGTAGTCTGACACTACCTGAGATTAAAATGTAAAGCAGAAGGCGTAAAAAGTGGTAACTCTAACGACAAAGGTAACGCTTTCAGAATACTGTTCCAGGATAAAAATAACATTAATTGTGCTGTGCAAAGTGTCGATTTTCACTAGAGAAGCCCAGTGTGGGTGTCACTCCAGGGTGGCCTGAGTGTGTCTGGATGCACATTGATGCCGTGGCTCATGGTGTGCCGTGGCGAGCCCCAAGGTGTGCACAGGAGAGTTGAGTGGGAAGCTCTGTGGTGCTTCAGGGTGGGCTCCTGTGTCCTGAAGATTTGGAAAAGGTTCCTGGTTTTGTGTATCTGATCTGTAATATATTTGCCAGAAATGAGAAACTTAACACTGGACATGATTTTCTTTTCTAGCTTCCAAAGGAATTATCTTCAGAGACTTTTGATAAGACCATCTTAAGAGCCCTGAATCAGGGTTCCTTGAAAAGGGAAGAGCGGCGACACCCTGACCTGGAGCCCATCCTAAGGTGAGCGTTACTGATGAGGTAACCAGCTGCTTGGAGTGACTTGTTAGAGACACCACAGAGATGCTTCCTAAAATGCACATTTTATCATAAGCTATTCAGGCCTACGCTCATGATGAACGATACTCAACTAATTTTATTATTGTACTCTTACAGTTCTTTCGTTTCATAAAATTCAGTTGTTTCTAAAGTTGGTAATTACTGGTAAAACTGCTTGTTTTCTCCTTAAAATGTTAATTGAAAGAGGCCTTTGTCCAAGAGTGTGACTTTGAGATAGGTTCTCTTTTAAGACCCCGGTTCTTCTGGAGCCCAGTGCTATCATCAAGGCCTTTGTCACTGTCAGGTTGTTGGGCCTTTGGAAAAACAGGTATAGATGAGAAGAGCATTAAGTATACTGTCAGAGACACAGATACTATATCTCAGGTTAACTCCCAGAGCCTCCTTTGTGTCTGCAGAGAGAGGAAGAAATTGAAGATACAGGGGAGAGGGTAGCTGGTGGCATGAGGTCCCTGCAAAGGCAGGATTTATGTGAATTATAGGTAAATTTACATGTTTTGTGATGAGAAGTTGAAGGATCTTTTGCATGTAATGGCTTAGGTTCTCTCTAAAGAAGAGTTTTACTTAGGAAGGAGGTGGGAGCAGGCTTTAGCCTGGTGCTTGTAAGATACCAGCACCCAACATGGGAGTACCTGGGTTCAATTCTCAGCTCCAGCTGCCCACCAGTTGCCCTGGGAGGGAGCAGGTGATGACTCAAGTAGTTGGGTCACTGCTACCATGTGGGAGACCTGGATTGAGTTGCCTGCTCCCTGGTGCAGCTGTGCCTGCTGAGCACACCATGGGGATGAAGCAGCAGGTGGCAACTCACTGTCTGCCTCTTAGTGAGTTAAGTAGAAGCAGTGCTGGGCCCTGTGTGGTTTAGCGAGGCTTCAGTGAGACTTTAAATGAGACTTGCTCTTGCCCTGTGACCGAAGGGGCCCCAGTTTTGGAAGCAGACGCCCCGAATGAGAGAGTGCAGAGGTGTGTGTCTTTCGCTGTACTAGTGCCCTCTACCCCGGAAGGGAACTGGGCCCAGTGAGTATTCTCAGGATGGCTGGAGCCACGAAGGAGGGTGAAAATCTGCCTCTTAGTGCAGATGAGTAGAAATCTGAGGGGAGGGTATTCTTGTTGTATGGCGAGATCCAGGGCACGACTGTGGGAGTAAATGACTAGGATAAGACAGCCAGAGAAGGTCATTGGGGAAGCAAAGAGCCTGCAGTGTCGGATGGATCACCCACATGGTCATGAAGGCCAGCAGTGGGATAGAGGATTTGGAGTGGAGGAGACAGACCGATGCCAACGTTGAATAGGAATGTGGGAGATTGACCTAGGTTGGCACATGTCATGTACTCGGTGAAACTGGAAGAGAGTGGCTGGATTCGGGTTCAGGCAGTGCGCGCAGATGCATGCTGGGAGGGTGTGGGGACTTGCGCCTTCCACCTGCACGGCTGCTGGGAGAGCTAGAGCTTGTTTTCTGGTTGGTATAAGGAAGTACAAGCTACGTTTTCTGAAGGTCTAAATATGTGGGGAATCTCAGGGGACATAGTGCGAGGGTTCAGAGAAGGAGGAAGAGAAATGGCGGTAGCAGAGCACATGCTGGGAGGCCACAGAGGCCATGTTGCGTAGTAAGGCCAGCAGCTGGCAAGCACTCAGGTCGTCATACAGAGAAGCAGCTCAGGAGGAAGTGCTGCTGCTGCAGTGCCGGCTGGGAGTCCAGCAGCGGGACGCCGTGCACCACACTGGGCGGGAAGTAATGAGGGCTCCAAGTGGCAGCCTCTGGTGTGTGTCCAGCAGCAGAATGTGACTCTTGGGGCCAGCCTGTTGATGCTCATTGTCACCCTGTCCATGCTGGCTTCAGTGTGTGCTTTGATCCCAGCTGGGTCCTGTGTACTACTAGGCTTCAGGGTCAGATGAACATCATGAACTTGACTGAGGTCACATGGCTCTACTGATTGTTCCAATTGAGAGTGATAAGATATAACACACTTTATTTACTATGTGTTTGTACACAGGGCTTGGTACAGAACCATTCAGTTTATTTTGAATAGCTTGGGGGCTTTCTTGGTAAATCTAACAGAAGCTCAATAAAGAATATTGGGGGAAAACAGAAAAGTACTTTTGACAATTATCCAAATAACTATTATTGACACTTTTATTTTTTTTTCCTTTTATTATTTTTTTTGCCTCTAGCACTTGATTTTGTAGTTTTATATTCTGCTTTTCCCCTCAAATGATAAGCATTTTCTATTTAATTCTTCAGAAGCATTTTGAATAGCCACAAACTATATCCCACCTGGCTCTGTAGTCCTTTGACTATCTCCCTGTTGTTGGGAATATTCATAATTTTCTGTTTGTTTTGCTTTGATTAAAAATAAATCTGATCAATTTTGTGCCCCAAAACATTTTCTAGATTTATGATTACCTACTGAGGAGAGGTTCTTTGAAATCAGTCTGTTGGAAAAAAAAGATCCTGTGAGGATCCTGACAGGTTGTTCTCATGAGAAGTCACGGAAGGAGCGGCACACACTCGGGTTTGAATTTAGCTGCTCACCACAGCTTGGCTAGCTCCGAGTATCATCATTAAGAACATTTGTTAGTTTGATGGGTGAATGGTTATCCCATTGGCTTAATCAGTGAAACTCAAGATCTTTTTGTAAGTTTAGCCGGTAGTGTATTTTGTGGGATCAACTGTCCTTTATCAGTTTATCTTTTTGGATCTTTATGGTTTTGGTAGAGTTCTTTTGCAATGTGTATTAATAGGTCTTTCATGTTACAGTATTCTTCAGTCAGCTATGATTGTTAAAATTTGAAATGCATGATTTCTCAGGCTTTGTTTTGGTGTTCACGTTAATCTTTCTCAAGATTAGAAAGTCATTCCCAGGTTGTTGTGAAATATTAGGTACATCTGAGTAGCCAGGTAGAAAAAATTTAAGTTACAGCCATGTGTCATTCTTCACATAAAAATTATGACGACTCAGGTAAACCAAGAAAGAAAACATGAAACTTAGATATGTGTGTGGTAGATTTTTCTAAGTGTCACACACAACACTAGAAACTGTTAAAGAGAATCAGATTCAAATTCTGAAAAATCAGATTTCTGCACTCTAAAACAAAGTGAAGACATCTAAAATTTAGTGCAATGTTTCTTTTGCAGCAATTCCTCTCATATAAAAATGAACTCGTAAGAATCGGTAAGATATTAGAAACTAATAGTCTGAATGAAGCAGTGGGCGGGGGAATGGGAGAGTTATGAACAGACAGCATAGAGCAGCTGAAATTGTAAGTGGCATTTAAACATGAAAAGATGCTCATAATCTGAAACTAAAAGAGAACCCTGAGTTTTTGTTTAACCTATGGAATATGCAAAGATCAGGAAGTTTGCAAGTGCTTTTTGGTGATGAGGAACATAAATTGCTGTTATTTGACAATAGAAAATTTAAATATGAATAACCAGGGCAGCAGGTGAAGTGGCTGCCTGCACCTATACCAGACACCAGCATCTCATATTGGCATCCTTTCCTGTCCTGGCTGCTCCATTTCTGATCCAGCTCCCTGGGACTGCACCTGGGAAAGCAGCAAAAGATGGCCCAAATGATAGGGCCCCTGCCACCCACATGGGAGACCTGGAAGAAGCTCTTGGCTCCTGGCTTCAGCCTGGCCCAGCCATGGCCCTTGTAGCCCTCTGGGGAGTGAGCCAGCGGATGGAAGATTGATTCTCTCTCTCTCTCTCTTTCCCTAACTCTGACTTTGAAATGAATAAATAAATCCTTTTTAAGAAAAGAATGACCTTTGAATACTAAACATTTCTAGTTATTAATCTCACGGATTCATTCCCTCTTACATGCAAAGATGAATGTGCAGGGATGTTTATTGTAGTGTTTTTGACTAAAAAAGACAAAATAAATTACGATGTTGACTTGGTTACCATAAAGTAGGGAGAGCTTGTTTCAGGAAAATAAAAGCGTTTATTTTATACGGTAATATACTAAAAGGGGTTGTATGTAGGGGAAAAGAATGGCCTGAGAATAGGAGTAAGACTGACTTTTGGCCATATATATTTGCACACCATGTAGTTGAAAAGTTGTTTCTTATTTATTTGAGAATGCGGAGACACAGAGAGTTCTCATCTTTTGGTTGGCTCCCAAGATGCCTGTAACAGCGAAGGCTGGGCGCTGAGTCCAGGGCTGCCATGTGCGTGTCAGGGACTTGACTCTTGGGCCATCACTGCTGCTTCCCAGAGTGCACTTTAGCAGGAAGCTAGAATGGGGAGCGGGGCTGGGATTCGACCCCAGCCTTCCTGTATGGACTCTAGGCTTTTTTAATTTTTATTTTTTAAGATTGATTAGGTGAAAGAGTTACACAGAATGAGAGAGAAAGAGAGAGAGATCCTCCATCCACTGGTTCACTTCCCAAATGGCTGCAATGGCCAAGGGTGCACCAGGCCAAAGCTAGGAGCTTCTTCCGGGTCTCCTATGTGGGTACAGGGGACCAAGGTCTTGGGCCAATCTCTGCTGCTTTCTCAGGTGCATTAGCAGGGAGCTGGATCAGAAGTGGAGCAGCCAGGATTCCAACCTGCATACCTATAGGATGCCCGTGCTAAAGCTGCTTAAGCTACTGCACCACAGGACCGGCCCCAGGAATCCAGGCGTCTTAACTGCTGAGCTTAACGCCCTCCCCTGTATTATTAAGAAAGCTTTTAAAGCTGTCTCTCTTTAGAAACTCAGTTTACTTTCTGTGTGATAATTTACTGTTTTCTTTAATAATTTTGGAATTCATTGTGTTAACACCAAATAAAGCCACCGCTGCAGCCGGCGCACCGGGCTGATCCTGGCAGGAGCCAGGAGCCAGGTGCTTTTCCTGGTCTCCCATGGGGTGCAGGGCCCAAGCACCTGGGCCATCCTCCACTGCACTCCCTGGCCATAGCAGAGAGCTGGCCTGGAAGAGGGGCAACCGGGACAGAATCCAGCGCCCCAACCGGGACTAGAACCCGGTGTGCCGGCGCCGCAAGGTGGAGGATTAGCCTGTTGAGCCACGGCGCCGGCTCAAGAAAGCTTTTAAAGCTGTCTCTCTTTAGAAACTCAGTTTACTTTCTGTGTGATAATTTACTGTTTTCTTTAATAATTTTGGAATTCATTGTGTTAACACCAAATAAAGCCATATGTAAACTGACTTCTCTTTCCAAACACTGAATGAATTCTTTATTAGTGCTACCTTACACGAGAGGGCTTCAGAAAGTCCATGGAAAACATGTTATAAAAAACCAAATGTATGGATTTCAGTGTTTCACACTAAAATTTACCTTTTCATTCCATTTTTTCACGAATGCTTTAAAGCCCCTTCACAGGGCTCCTGGTTATAGGTTCCTAGATACGTTAACATCACCTCTTATTTTTGTTCTTGGATCACATTTCCATGATTTGTACTTTATTAACAGCTGGTAGATCTGGTTTTTCCTGCCCCTTAAAATACTCATTCTTAGATGTTTAATCTGTAGCTTAGCTATTTTAAAACTTGATGTATGCATGTTCTAGGAGATGAGTTGAACCATGAGGTTCAAGTCTTAGTAATACTTATCATTTGTATTTATTATGTTAAAATTGATTTATTCACTTGAAGGCAGAATGAGAGAGACAGAGAGAGACTGACACCTATCCATGGGGTCACTCTCCAGTGGCCAAGGCTGGGTCAGGCCAAAGCCAAGAGCCAAAAACTCCATCCAGGTCTCCTATGTGGGCAGTAGGGTCTCCACCAAGTACCTAGGCTGTCATCTGGTGCTTCCCAGGCACATTAGCAGGGAGCTGGATCGGAAGCAAAGCAGCCAAGATTCAAACCGGTGCTCTGATATGGGATGCGAGGCATCACAAATGTTGGCTTAATCCTCTGTACCACAACACTGGCCCCATACTTGCAATTTGTAAAAAGTCGTTGTTGATTCCTATCTTCTTTAACCCCTCTCCCTGCTGATAATTATGTCCTAAAGTCAGTCCATGGGACAGAGTAAGGTAGACACCAGCATCAGCTTGGGGCGGGGGAGCTCACAGGCTGGAGAAAGCACCTAGGTGGAGTGAGGAAGCCCTTCTCTCCTTTGGGGAAGGCTTGACGCATGTCAGAGCCCAGCTTGGGGCAGGAGGGCAGACTCGTGCAGATCCCGTGCAGCCCAGCACTGGAGCCAGACCTCTGCACACTGCATAGTTTTTTCTTTTTCTTTTAAAGATTTATTTATTTGAAAGAGTTATACAGAGAGAGAAGGAGAGGCAGAGAGAAAGAAAGAGAGAGAGAGGTCTTCCATCTGCTGGTTCACTCCCCAATTGGCCGCAATGGCTGGAGCTGTGCTGATCCAAAGAGCCAGGAGTCAGGAGCTTCTGCTGGGTCTCCCACGTGGGTGCAGAGGCCCAAGGACTTGGGCCATCTTCTGCTGCTTTCCCAGGCCACAGCAGAGAGCCGAATTGGAAGTGGAGCAGCCAGGACTTGACTGGCACCCATATGGAATGCCAGCACTGCAGGTGGCGGCTTTACCTGCTACACCACCGCCCCGGCTCCAAGGAAAGTTTTTTTTATAACACATGTGGTCCACAAGCTTTTATACGACCCCTTGTATATATTTTTCCCAAATGAAAATATCGTATATATACCTCCTGGTCATTTGCTCTTTCATTATGTGTCTGAGAACTTGGGAACTCATCAGTACCTGTGAAGAGATTGTTGCTATGTTTTTGGTTTGCTATGTAGTGTTCCATTTTTAGCTGAACCATAATTCAATTAATTGACATTATTGCCACTGTAGTTGTTTGTAAATATTTTCAAACCACAATACTATAGTGTCTAGGTATATGGTAATATATTTGAGTACATTAGATAAATTTATACAGTTTTATGCTTATTTTTATTTGACTGTGGTCTGTACAGACTCAGTTCCATGCCTTGATCTCTTGGATGCTCTAAATGTGTATCTCAGTGCTCCTGTAAGTGGGTATTCTCTTGGTGTTTGAGTCATGTCTGGGCTGTAGGTAGGCTAGGGCCCCAAGTTGAAGGTATGCCTGTGCTTTTGACCAGCTGTTTTGTGTATGTAACTGGGGAGGGATTCCACCACTGCCTTTGGATTTTATTTATTATCAAGATGTGTTGATTTGAAAAGGCAGAGTGACAGAGGGAAAGAGAGCTTCCATCCTCTAGTTCACTTCCCAAATGCCTGCAATAACCATGTCTGGGCCAGCCCAAAGCTGGAAATCCAACTGGGTCTCCCACATGGGTGGCAGGACTTCAGGCACTTGGGCCATCTTCCTGGCTTTTCCCAGGTGCATTAGCAAGGAGCTGGATTGGAGGTGGAGCAGCCTTGTGATGAGATGCCAGCATCACAGTGGCAGCTTAACCCGCTGCGTCTCAGCAATCATCTCTGCCTTGGATTTTTTTTTTAAATTTAGACCAGTGTAGTTTTAAAAAAGACTTATTTAAAGGCAGAGTTAGAGAGAGAAAGAGAGGTCTTCCAGCTGCTGGTTCACTCCACAAATGGCTGCAATGGCCAGAGCTGGGCCAATCCAAAGCCAGGGGCTTCTTCTGGGTCTTCCACGCAGGTGCAGGAGCCCAAGGACTTGGGCCAACTTCTGCTTTCCCAGGCCATGGCAGAGAGTGGAGCAGCCAGGAATTGAACTGGCTCCCATATGGGATGCTGGCACCGCAGGCAATGGCTTTACCTGCTAAGCCTTTACCTGCTGGCCCCTGCCTTTGGATTTTAATCCCAGCCGTAATATGTTCAACCTGGAAACTTAGATTCACCCATATTTCAAGATCGTGGTTTTTCTACTCTCAACTTCAGTTCCCCCTTGTTGCCCACTTACTTCACGTTAGTGTATCATGAAGCAGCTGCACCTGTAGACAAGGCAGCTTTGGTCCATCAGAGGCATCTCTTGTTGGTGTGGTACTTAATTATCATGTGATTAATCTGATAGGTGAGAACCTTTTGGGGAAATTAGGAACAAACACTTAAAATGGGTATTAAAATGTTCAGGAGAGAGAGAAGGGATGTGTGCCATGAGCTCCTATGTGGTAAGTAGGGCGACAGTTTCTTTGTGCTGACGAGGTCTCATGGCCATAGGGACCTGGTAGAATTCCCTGGGAGGAAGTGCAAGCTGAAAGGCTCAGTAACTTGCTTGGGGTGACAGAGCTTGTGAGTGGTGGAACTGGTGTTTAGCTCCAGAGTTAACACTGAGCAAATGCGCAGCACTCTTTTCACAGGTGCCACTTACCAAAGACTACCGGTTGGGATCTTTTATCACATTAGTAAGGGAAGAGGAAAGCTGGCTTTCAGGTAGCTTAGAATCCTGGTGTGGCACGCACGTGCGTCAGCACTTAGCCAAGCCTCAGAATGTGGCAGCAGCGTGTGCGGTTTGCCGCGGGGCTCGCTGTGATGCTCTCCAGCAGTCTTGGCATCCCACCCTTCCTGCCTCGTGTGTCCTGAGTGGGGGAAGCCCCTGCAGTTGTGTATCAGACGATTAAAAGCTACACACCTTTGAGGAGGAATAAAGCAGAAAGGCAGTGGTGCCACTTAGGCAAAAGGCCGAAATAATACGTTTGTTTGCCAAAATTTAAACCTAACCACTAGAGAGTGTAAAATTTTACGTCTAAAAATTAAAATTCTGCTTTGTAGATTCTTAAATCTTGTTGAATTTTACTTCACTTTCTCCTACAGGAAACACATTACAAATACTCCTAAAAAAGAAAAAAAATACCTTTCTATGCCTGAACTAAACAGCCACGGAAGTGCGTGTCATGATCTAAGCAGATTCTTGTGGGCGTGTACCCCTGAAGCTAACGATCTCTTCTTTGCACGTGCAGGCAGCTGTTGTCGACTTCGTCACAAGCTTTTCTGCAGAGTCAGAAAGTGCGCAGCTTTTTCCAGTCCCTGTCGCCAGACTCCCGGCCCAGCCTCAGTAAGCAGCTTGTCTCCTCCAAACCGACTGTGTTTGCTGCTTGGTTTCTGGTTTTGCTATGTCACCTTGTATGAGTTTGTCACTGTAGTCAAAGTTAAGGAATAGTGATGTAAAATTAAGAAATAATTCTCTTTTTAAACTCATTTGAAAGAGTTACGGAGAGAGAGGTCTTCCATCCGCTGGCTCACTCCTCAGATGGCTGCAATGGCCAGAGCTGCGCTTGTCTGAAGCCAGGAGCGAGGAGCTTCTTCCGGGTCTCCCACGTGGGTGCAGGGGCCCGAGGACTTAGGCCATCTTCTGCTGCTTTTCCCAGGCCATAGCAGAGAGCTGGATCAGAAGAGGAGCAGCCAGGACTAGAACCAGCACCCGTATGGGATGCCAGCGCTTCAGGCCAGGGCGTTAACCCACTGCGCCACAGCGCAGGCCCCAGTTGTCTCTTATTAAAAGGCGTTTGGGCGTATTTATTTGAAAGGCAGAGAGACAGGACAGAGAGAGATCTCCCATCCACTGGTTCATTCACCAAGTATCTACATAGCCAGTGTTGGGCCAAAGCCAGGAGCCTAGAACTCAGTCTGGGTCTCCTGCGTGGGTGGCAGAGGTTCAAGTACTTGAGCTGTCACTTGCTGCCTCCCAGTGTATTCATGAGCAGGAATCTGGAATCGGAAGCACAGCTGGAACCCAAACCCAGGCACTCCAGTATGGGATGCAGGTGTCCCAAACACTGTCTCACTGCTACCAAACAACCATTTGGTATTTTTAAATAAATTTTGCACTGCAATTTAAAAGAACGTAATGTATTGAAAAGCTGCTGTGGGGTGGGCACTTGGCCTGGTGGTTAAGATGGCAATTAGAGTGTCTGGGTTCTGTTCCAGCTCCACTCATCCTTCCAGCTTTCTGCTACTGGGGGCCTTCGGAGGCAGCAATGATCACGCAAGTAGTTGGGTCTCTGACAACCACAGGGGAGATCCAGTTTGTGGTTCTAGCTCCTGGCTCTGACCTGGCCCAGCCCTGGCTGTAGTGGACTTTTGGGGAATGAACCAGTGCATTAAGGGTATGTTTGTGCACGTGCACTCTTACTTGCTCTCCCTCTGCCTCAAATAAGTGAAATAAAATTTTTTTAAAGTTTGTAGGGGCAGGTGTTTGGCATAGCAATTAACGCACTGCGTGGAGGCACCTACATCTGTATCAGAGTGCCTGGATTCAAGTCCCAACTCTGCTTCAAATCCTGCTTCCTACTAATGTACACCGGGGGAGGCAGCAGGTGATGGCGCAAGTACTTGTGCCACCCACAAGGAAGGCCCAAATGATTTCCAGCTCCTGATTGTGGCCTGGCCTAGCCCAGGCTGTTCTGGGCATTTGGGGAGTGAATTAGCCAAAGGAAGTTCTTTGCCTCTCTTTGCCTTTCAAATAAAATGAAAATTAAAAAGGGAAAAAAAGATGTGTAGAATATGGAATGGAAAGATATATTTAAATATTTGTTGCTACTGTAACAAAACAGACTGAGTCCAAGTGAAGGTGGAAGATCTTTAAGGCTCTGGGACATGGTCAGTCCCCCAGGCCCTTGGCAGAGCTGGCCTGCAGTCTTCAGAGCTGTGATGATGCTGGTGCGTGACGTTCAGCGTGTAGTTGTCCTTCCTCCTTGTCCCCTGTTTCCATAGTGACCTTCCCAGCTTGCTCATAGAAAGCACGAGCTTGGGTCTTCTCACTTTCCCTCCTGTGCTTCAGTCACTTAAAGGCCAGCCCATGTAGACAGGGATGTCTTCCTGTTTGGCCCTGGTAACTATCCCATTGTTTTCTTCAATCAGGTCTGTCTTTCACACATAGGGAATTTACCAGGAAAGCCTTGCTCCTCTCTCACTATCTGGTTCTTACAGTAATATATTCCAGGATTTTCACAAGGACACTTTTTTTTTTTTTTTTCCACTTTGCTTGAAAGGCAGGGGTTGAGAGATTGATTCCAGCCATCGGTTCATTCTCCAAATGCCTGCAGCAGCTGAGACTGGATCAGGTCAAAGCCGGGAGCTCACAACTTAGTGCAGCTCTCCCACGCCATGCAGTCGCAGGGCTCTCAGGATGGACATTAGCGAGACGCTGGGTTACACATGGAGCACGGACTAAAATCCGGCTCTCTGATATAGGACCTGGGTATCCAAAGTGGTGTCTTTTTTAAGATTTATTTTATTTATTTGAAAGGCAGAGTTACAGAGAGAGAGGGAAGGAGAAACAGAGACAGAGGTCTTCCATCCACTGGTTTACTTTCCCAGGCAGCCACAACAACTGGGGCTGGGCCAGGCTGAAGCCAGGAGCCATCTTGGGCTGTCTTCCCCTGCTTTCCTGCTGCAATAGCAGGGAGCTGGATCAGAAGCAGAGCAGCCAGGACTCAAACCAGCAGCCGTATGGGATGCCTGGGATGCCGTCACTGCATGCAGAGGTTTAACCCACTACGCCACAGTTCCGGTCCCAGCCGAAGCAGTGTCTTAACCGCTGAGCCAAATGCTTGCTCACCTCCGAAGGATAAATTTGAGTATTAATCCCCTACTAAAGTTTCACAACTTTGATGTGAGGTTCAGGCCCCTCCGTGCGTGTGCTCTCCGGTCTCTTGAGCTCCAGCTGCTCCCAGGCTCCGTGTTTCTCAGTCCCTCCTGCCGTTTCCTGCCCCACTGTCTTCATGAAATCACTGCTTAATTTACACTCTGACCTCAGCCTGCCTTTTCAGCGTATTTGCCAGTAGCATTTATGTGTGCTTTGAAAAACTTCTGCTAACTTCAAGCAAAGCCACTATAACAAGGAACAGGGTTTTTTGTTTGTTTGTTTTCTTAAAATGTTTCCTGTACCTAAAGGAGAAGGGAAATATATAATTCCTCAATTTGAGGTGAGAGGAAAGGAGGAGAAAAAAGTAATGTGATTGGGTGTTATAACACTCAGGCTAACTTATGAAGTATCTCTAAATGTTCATTCATTTATGCCTCAAATATTTTAAAATTAATTATAACTAAAAATTAAGGTTTTTAAAATTTTGTGAGAGGGGCCAGCATTGTGTGCTGCTGCCTGAGACGCCCGCATCCCATATGGACACCAGTTCTAGTCCCGGCTGTTCCACTTCCCATCCAGCTCCCTGCTAGCATGCCTGGGAAAGCAGGAGAGGATAGCCCAAGTGCTTGGGTCCCTGCACCTGGTGAAGCTCCTGGATCCTGGCTTTGACCTGGCCCAGCCCTGGCTCTTGTGGTCATTTGTGGGAGTGAACCAGCAGCTCCCCCCACCCCTTCCTCTCCTTCTCTCTGTAACTCTGCCTTTCATTTCTTTTTTTAAAGGTTATTTATTTAATTTGAAAGTCTGAAAGAGAAGGAAAGGCAGAGAGAGAGAGGGAGGGAGAGAGAGAGAGAGGGAGGGAGGTCTTCTATCCACTCGTCCACTCCCCAGTTGGCCACAACAGCCAGAGCTGGGCCGATCCGAAGCCAGGAGCCAGGAGATTCTTTGGCAATTTCATGTGGGTGCAGGGGCCCAAGGACTTGGGCCATCTTCCACTGCCTTCCCAGGCCATAGCAGAGAGCTGGATTGGAAGTGGGGCAACTGGGATTCGAACTGGTGCCCATATGGGCTGCCGGCACTGCAAATGTCAGCTTCACCCACCATGCCACAGCGCCGGCCCCTCAGATAAATAAATGTGCACCCTGGGAGGCAGTATGCAAGTATTTGCGTTCCTGCCACCCACCTGGGAGGCTTGGAATAAGTTTCTGCCTCCTGGCTTCAGCCTGTCCCAGTCTGGCTGTTGCAGACATCTGGAGAGTAAACCAGTTGATAGGAGCTAGCTTGCTTGCTCTCACTACCTTTCAAATAAGGAAGTAACTTAAAAAGTTTTTAAAATTCCTTACCACACCGTGGATGTTTCAGGAGCGCCCCTGGTGTATTTCCCGTGTTGCTCATCAGCACACTGAGGCTGACGAGGTGGAGCAGCTTGCCCAGGGGAACCTGACTCCATGATTCAGGGCCCCTCACAGTGCAGTGCCTTGTTCTCTGCACCGCTAGCCCGCCACTCTCCTCTTCCTGGGAGTAAAGTAATCACTGTTTTCTTTCTTTCTTTAATTTTGCTGGAGAGCTAACAGTATTGAATACTTCCTGCAGATAATTTACAGTCCTCTCTGAAGACTTCTAAGATACTAGAACACTTGAAGGAAGACAGCTCAGAAGCTTCAAGTCAAGAAGAAGGTAAATGTTGATTCTGTAGAGTAAGTCATTCCGCCCGATGCTGCCCGGGGGTAGAACAGACTGGGGAGTTGGGAAGCAGACGTATAGGAACTGGAATGTGACAGAGTTAAGTGGCTTTCCATATAAAAATGTCTAATTAGACCTGCACTTAGGAGTTGCAAGTGAATAACAACTTCATGCAACATTGAAACTTCTAAATGTCCATCTGGGAAAATACCAAGAATGTTAGCTCAACAGAAATATGGGCAAAATCCATGAATAGGAGATCCATGAGGGAAGAGACTTGAGCAGCCATCCAGCAGTGTGTGGCCTCACTGGTAGTCTGGGAAACAGTGAGATAATCATCTCACATTAATCAGATTGGCAGAATATTTTCAAGTCAGACATTATTAAGGATATGAAGCAGTAGGAACTGACACAGCCGTGTTGGGCAAAAATTTGGCACTGTGTTGTAGAGTTAGAGATGATTTTATGCTGCTGTTCAGTGATTCTGTACCTGTGAAAGTTACACATGTGCCCAAGGGCATGTAGACAGGTACTCACAGCATCATTGTATAACAAATACCAGTAAATTGTCTGAGTGTTTCAGAGGTAACCAAAGTTATAAATTGTGGTATAATTGAACCAGGTAGCAGTTAAAATAAGGGATATTTGTAATATGTTCAAACATGCAACACCACTTTGTTTATGAGCCCATATAGTTGGAGTTAAAATAAAAACTTGCACTTGAGTGTTTCAGCAAGTTAGAAGTAGTTAGCTTCTCTAAGGATGGCAGGTGAATGGAATGGAGAGAGACTTTCAGGTCCTGTCATATATGGTTTCTCAACAAAAATGAGGCAAATATAGAGAAGTCTGGGAGGTGGATGTACATGGCTGTTTATTATACTGATGGATGCTTTATTTTTTAATGGTTAAAAAGGAGTTCTACCTGAAATTCAACATTGTAATTTTGCAGTGGCTTGCTCATATTAGACACTCATGGTTTTGGCCAAGACTGACTTGCTTTCAGGTGGAACACGTTGGAGAGGAGATTTAAGGTAATTTGGTAGCTTGTTATGTGTTTAAGATATTTTCTGTGCTGAGAAATGCTTAGAGCTTGCTCCAGCAGTCTGTCAACATGGATAGGATCTCATAAATTGGTAACATTATCCTTTTGATTTTTTGCTGCAGCATTTAGTAAAATATGTTTTCCTCTACTCTAGATGTGTTACAGCACACCCTAATCCACAAGAAACATACCGGGAAAAGTCCCATTGTGAAGTAGGTATCTCACTTCTAAAACATAGATGGTTTTGTACCTCTCTAAGTGGGTATAGCAGGGGCTGGCACTGTGGCACAGCGGGTTAAAGCCCCATTCTACAGCACTGGCATCCCATATGAATGCTGGTTCTAGTCTCAGAGGCTCCACTCCTGATCTAGCTGCCTGTGAGAGCGGTGGAGGATGGCCCAAGTGCTTGAGCTCCTGCACCTGCCTGGGAGACTCAGAGGAGGCTCCTGGTTCCTGGCTTTGGATCGGCCCAGCTCTGGCCATTGCGACCATTTGGGGAGTGAACCAGTGGATGGAAGTCTCTCTTCTCTCTAACACACATTTTCTAACTCTTTCAAATAAATAAAATAAATGGGAATAACATTTAATTACTGATGCACTTGACTATAATTTTGCCATTATGCAATTTGCTTTTTATTTGTCCCAACTTTTCTGTGTTTCCTTTTCTCCTTTCTTGCCTTCTTTTGTGTGTTTTTGTTCTGTTTTTCTCTTCTGTGGCCTTGATAGTTATGCAGTATTTGGTGGTGGTGGTGGTGTTTTTAAATTCTTCCTGTGGATGATACTGTACATCTTTGACTTACTGAAGTTTGGTGTCAATTGTGCTTGTCCTTGTTCCCTAATAATCTGAGGGCTTCAGATCACTGTACCTCCTTTATCTTTTCCTTAGAACATATATTTTAATTCTCTCAGGTTTTAAACACCTGAAAGTTCTTTTCAGTATTCATTTAGATTTCACCCTTCTGTTGCTCTTTGTGTCCTGTGTCTAATCATCCACCTATGATCATTTTCCTTCTAACTGAAGAACTCTGTGAATGTTTCCTATGGTCACATATGTCAATGGTGAATGCATGTGGCTTTTAATCTGAAAAAGTTTTATTTTGCCTTCATTTTTGAAAGATCTGTTGCTGGACCTGGAACTGTGGGCCGGCAGGTCTTCTCTGCTGGCTCTTGGAAAGCATAGCCTCACTGTCTTCTCGCCTCGGGCCCTTGCTCCCTTGTGTCACATCTTGTCTGCCCACTTCAGATTTCTCCTGAACTCATGGAATCACGTGTCGGGTTTCAGACTGGGCACTTTGTGTCCAGAGCCTTTGCCGAGTCTGTGGCTGCCTGCTTCTGTTTGGAGGCAGGCAGTTTGGGGAGGTCCCAGCAGCTTTGAATCCCTGATTGTGTCTCATGGCACACTCAGTAATGGATCCTTCATTGGGTCTTTGGCTGTTTCTCTCTCTCTTCCCTTACTTCTGCTCTCTGGGATCACCTCTGTAATAAACTGTATCACTCCAAATTCTGCTTTTGAGAGAGCTCGCAGTTTAGATATCTGGCATCCATCATTTCTGTCAACGTTGGTGTTGCTCTCTGGAAGGTAATGTGCTGTTTTCTTCTGATTGCTTTGAAGTTCTCACAATCTGGCTTCAGTTTTCCTACCATGGCATTTTGTAGCATTCTTTGCATGGTTTCTGCTTCTTTAATCTATAGTTCAAACCCTTGAGTTTAGAAAACTTCTAGCTCTTATTCTCCAAATGCTGCTTCTGCCCTGTTCTCTTGCTCCACCTTGTAAAACTCTTTGAGTTCTTGTATTGGACTTTTTACCCTTTTAAACATTTTTGTTGGTTTTCATAATTTTTTCCTTTCAGCATTTCAGTGTATTTTTCTCACACCAAGTTTCCTCTTTACTGTTTTTTTTCATCTATTTCCCAACTTTGAGTTCTTAATATAACTGTGTTTTATAGTTCTAAATCTTAAATTTCTTTTTTTTTTTTTTTATATTTCCCAGTAATCTTCCAAAATTCTTAAAGCCCACAGGCAACAACTTCTTTACCTGGATTCTCTTTGCACCTGTTTCTGTTGCCTGCCCTTTCATAATTCCAGCTATACGTGGTACTTATGTTGAGATATGTGGTTACATGAGCCTCTCTCTTCCCAGCTGTGAGTGCTGCAAGATAGCCACCATTGCTTGGAGTCTCAATGGCAGGCTATGCATGTGTTACTGCTATATTTAGTGGCCAGTATTAATGATAAAATAGATGTGTACTATAATATTTCTCATTGTATAATTTTTCCCTTAGAGTTCTCACTAGGCACTGTTTAAAATATTAATATACTGAGGAAGGGGTCACTGTAGCATCTTCACTGAAATGTTATAGAGCAGGGTAGTTTACTGAGGACATTTTCACACTTTCATAAACTTTTCTCTTGACAGCAACATTGGTACGAATTGTTCTCCATTGGATGGGCTTACCATGCAATATTCTGAACAGAATGGAATCGTGGACTGGAGGAAGCAAAGCTGCACCACCATTCAGCACCCAGAGCACTGTGGGACCTTAGCTGACCAAGTATGTGAGGCTCTGGTGTTGGTGCCATGTAGTTAAAGCATTGCTACCCTGTAGGGTTCTGTAAACATGGAGTCAGATAGTCAGTCTGGCAAAAAGAGAGAGAATGTTGACGTGTTACACTTCATGCTTAACTGTACTTCATGTAATCTAAGCTCTTGTGAGACCCGAAAAAACACTTGAATAATTTCTGTTGCTCATGTAAAATTGCTACACTTTAAATATGATGCCTAAAATGCTTATTCCAACTAGGAGTATATTGTTCTGCTAAGACTTTCTGGCCTTAAAAGAAGTCTTCACATCTCAATCACTGTCTTGCTATTGGTAATACACAGTTTCAGACTGACTGTTGTGCGTAGTGGGGCCAGTTTCTGATGGCCCCGAGGAATGTGGTTAAGGAGCACATGCTTTCTTAGGGACTGGGAGTGATGAGAGCGTGGAGCACTCTCAGCATGTGATACAGGCCTGCAGGGTGGGGAAGGACACGTGGCACAAGTGTGGCATAACCTTCTCTCCAGAAATGTGATTCCTTCACCTGGTTTTAGTCCCAGCCAACACTTAGATCCAAATATTAACTCTTTTGGATAGTGTTTTCATCAGCTGAAGCACTAACACCTGTTTTGAGAAACTGTCAGTTGATTATAATCCCTCCACTGCAATACCTACACCTTCTCAGAGTTGACAAAATTGTGTTGTTCAATTTTATCAAACTGAACTTAAGAGAATACTAAAATAATTATAATAAAAATTCTAATAAGAATATTAATAAACACCAGTTACAGTGTTTTATCTTACAGTTTGATAAGAGGTACTATTTTTAACTTAATCTTTCTCATGATTAAATTTGTCACAGAATATATAAATCTTAGTGGTTCAGGTAAGTGACTTTAAAAATAGGAATGAAAATGTGTTAGAATATGCAGTTGGGCAGGAGTAATTTGATCTAGCAGTGAAGACGCTGGTTGGGACACGCGCATTCCATATCACGGTGTCTGAGTCCTTCCACTTGCAGACCCGGGGAGGCAGCGGTGACAGCTCAAACAGCTGGGTCTCACCCACTCATGTGAGGGACCCGGATGGAGTTTCTGGCCCCCCCCCAGCTTTGGCTTAGCCCAGTCCCAACCATTGCAGACGTCTGGGGAGTGGACCAGCAGATGGGAGCTCTGTCCTGCGTGTCTCTGTCTTGCTCCCAAATAATTGTTTTTTAAAAAGGACGTACAACTGGAAATAGTCATTTTAACGTTTGATAGCAGAATAAACGGTACCTGCATCAGTATGATTTACCTTTTATCTTTTGTGTTTTTAATTCTTTCTACTAGCATTCTGCTGAAAAACGGAGCTTATCTTCAATAAATAAGAAGAAAGGAAAGCCACAAGCAGACAAGTAGGTTCCAGTTAATGCTTCCAGTCATAGAGTTGGTTAGGAAGGACAGCATGCAGCATGTGATTGTGAGCATGTTGATAGAACACAGAGGGTTTTCCTTTTCTTAAAAATTTTAGTTTTGGGCTTAATTTTTTTAGTTCAAAATATCAACATAGGTAGGTGATAAAAATAAAGCTGTAGCCAAATACTTTATTTGGTGTGGAGAGGCAAAACTCTCAAAGCTGTGCACCAAAGGGGAAATCTTAGTTGTATTTAGTTTTTTCCTTTCTACAAGTTATAGTTTAAAAAAAGCTTGAGGGAGATTTTCAGTAATACTGTACTGAAGATGTTTGGTAGAAAGCTTTATAGAGAATGGTAATGCCTGTGTTTGGTTTAGGGAGAAAATGAAGAAAAGTGACAGCAGATTGAATAGCAGGATAAATGGGATTAGACTCTCCACTCCTCAGAATGCCCATGGTGGGACTGTGAAAGGTAAGTTTCTCTTTGGAATACTCATCACCTGCATATACTCAGCATGATGCTTACTATCTAAGTGTTACGTTATCACGTCAGATCCGGATATTGACGCATATGGCAGTTTGCAAAGTAAGCAATTGTTAAGTCAGCTGAGGGAGTGTGCGTCTGCCACAGGGGGTCAGCGTTGCATTGCCTCAGCTCTACCCACCCTCCCTCCTGCAGCTCCCAGCTTTCCTTCTCAAGTGAGTCCCTGCTCCAGGGCAGAGGGATGGCTCACGTCAGGTCATGGCTTCGCAGTCACTGTCATCGAAGTCTGGACATGTTCTTATGTAAAGTTAGTTTCTAGAATGTTGTTGACCTTTTCATGATTTAATAAATGCCTTTATGGGGCTTTAGGAGGATTCCAAGCCTGAAATTTTTGTTATACTAGATTAGTGTGGCTTTCATCTAACCACCATTATTTTAAAGTCCTTTTACTTTAAAAAAAAAAAAAAAAAAAAGATTTATTTGAAATACAGAATTAGAGAGATAGAGGTCTTCCATCTGCTGGTTCACTCCCCAGATGGCCACAATGGCTGGAGCTGAGCTGATCTGAAGTCAAGAGCCAGGAGCTTCTTCTGGGTCTCCCATGTGGGTGTAGGGGCCCAAGGATTTGGGCCATTTTCTACTGCTTTCCCAGGCCATAGCAGAGAGCTGGATCGGAAGAAGAGCAATTGGGACTAGAACCGGCGCCCATATGGAATACTGGCACTCAGACTGGGGCTTTAACCTGCTGTGCCACAGTGCCGGCCCCAGTCCTTTTACTTTTAACTGCCAGGTTCCTTTCATTGAGAAGGGCCTCTTAAGCTCCGACTTTTTGGTTTTTACATTTAGCATCAGTAGTAAAGGTTGTTTTAATAAATACAGAATTGCTCACAGGTCTCTAGGAGAGTGTTTTGTCCTCATGTGAACCTGTCATTACTGACATCCCACAAATAAGGTTTTTTATTTAAATTGTATTACCATTAGTGCATTGTAATGTAATGTAAATAACCATGTATCCTTCTTAAATGGAGTATATTTTTAACTAGTGTGTGTGGAGAAGCAGAATAGCAATGGGAGAGAAATTGTGTTTTGTTTTTGTTTTTTTTTAAGATTTGAGAGACAGAGACAAAGGTCCCGCATCTGCTGGTTCACTCCCCAAAAGGCCACAATGGCCAGAGCTGAGCAGATCCAAAGCCAGGAGTTTCCTCTGGGTCTCCTACGGCATCCTCCACTGCCTACTCAGGCCATCCGCAGAGAGCTGGATTGGAAGAGCAGCAGCCAGGACACAAACCAGCATCCACATGGGATGCGGGCGCCCCAGGCAGAGGCTTAGACCACTGTGCCTCAGCGCTAGTCCAGTAGTCTCCTTAAATTTAAGGTGGTCTGGCCAGCTGATTGAGTCACCTGAAGAGGGGTTTGAGGAGCAGGAGGATGACCTGGGAAAACCCCGTCTTGTTTGTATGGAGACTTCGTTCTAGGTGAGCACTGTGACACCACTGAGATTTCCCATGGTGATGGCAGCTGAAAAGATAAGGGAAAGGCCAGCGAGGAAAACCAAAGGTCTATGTTGGTGGAAGGTCACAGGTGGCCTGTGCCGGGTCCTCCTGGTTCATTTTCCCCGAGGGCTGCCTACTGCTGCTCCTAAGGTACATTCTTAGTTGGGGTGTTCTCCTGATGAACCCCCCGCAGGTGTGTACCACCCTCCGCAAGGTCACTGTCTGGTTTCACAGCATTTGAGAACCACTGTGTGCCAGAGAAGGCGGAGTTCCCTTCCCTTCCGTTCCACGCTCCACAGCAGAAGCACAGGGACTGTGGTCAGACACACTGTGGGCCTGCATCTTTCTTCACGGTGTGTATCTACCCATCTGCCCCACCAGAGAATTAAATGTAATAACATGTGAAAAGCATTTAGCTAGTACCATGCACCTGCTGTTCAATTATTTAGTTCCTTTTCCCTGTTCTAAAAAGTTAGACAGAAAGCAAACTTCACAACAATATCCCAAGCTCTAATTCTTTTTTCCCCCTTGATGTCTTAAATTTTCAAGTATTATACAAAAAGGAATCTCAGGAATTTTTGATTAAAATAGAGTAAGATTTAGCTTATTCTTTGTTTACATTTACATTTATGGATTATAACAATGAATAAGGCATACTCTAGATAGCTTGTATCATTGATGCCAAGTGAGGGTCAGCTGTATGCTAACTCCAACTTTAAAAATGCCTCTGTTAGTTTCCCTTTGAAATATTAAGGCACTAAGGAGGCACTGCCTTTAAGCATTCAGTAAACTCAAGATACATTTTAAGGTAGAACAGTAGCGTGTAAAATGTAGATACTGTACTGAAGCTGAAAATATTAGGTCCCTCTGATTAGTAGCTTGTTAAGATATTCAAACACTGTAATCTAGCTTAAGATCTGAACATTTTAAAATTTCTGTTTCAAGAAATAGTACGTTCATTTGGCTCAGAAGTACAAAAGGGAGTAAAATAAAGACCCCTCACTTTCCTCGTCCAAGAATGCAGTCCACACTCTTGGCACTGTTCCGCGAAGTCCAGACCTCGTGTCTCTCCCCAGCCTCATGGAGACCACCAGAAACCCCCCTGCTCTGGCCCTCTCCACGGTCTTTCTCCCACCCCTCTCTTCTGTTGCTGGTTGAGACCTCAGAAAGACTGGGGAAGGTGAGGTGGTTGACTTCTCCATTATGTTTAAAGAGTGGCAAATCATCCAGAAGTCTAACCCAGATATGAAGTGTAGTTCTGTCACTTGTGATTTGTCTGCTAGTTCTTCACTCTAACCAACTTCTGCTGTTCATAATTACCAGTAACCAAAATGCTTACTGTTAGAATAGTGACTTATGCTGTAAGGTTTTCACTTTTTGTCAGCTTAATCATGTGTAAGATGTTATTTGGGACATGACAAAAATTTATAGAAAGCTGGGGCCGGTGCTGTGGCGTAGTAGGCTAAGCTTCCACCTATGTTGCTGGCATCCCATATGGTTGCCAGTTCCAGTGCCGGCTGCCCCACTTCCGATCCAGCTCTCTGCTATGGCCTGGGAAAGCAGTACAAGATGGCGCAAGTCCTTGGGCCCCTGTACCCAGGTGGGAGACCTGGAGGAAGCTCCTGGCTTCGGATCAGCCCAGGTCCAGCTGTGGTGGACTTTTGGGGAGTGAACCAGCAGATGGAAGACTCCCCTCCTCAACCCCCCGCCATAGCTCTACCTCTCAAATAAATAAAATCTTAAAAAAAAATTTAAAAAGCTTATATCTGTTTAAAATAAGGGGAATTTATGGTGTCTTTTTTGCCATAATTGTTTCTTTCACACCTTTTAAAATGTCTAGATGATCACATAATTTGTTACAAGGCTCTACATAATTCTGAAACACTTTTGAATTATTAAAGAGAAAATTACATTTAGTGTAGACTTATATATAGTTCTTTAAAATGCAATTTAGTATGTTAATTTGATTAGAATACCCAATAGCACAATGTAAAAATTGTCCTGTAGTTCATAACATTTGGAAAAAGAGCTTTTGTTTTTTGTTTTTAAGATTTATTTATTTGAAAGGCAGAGTGACAGAGAGGGAGAGCCGGAGACCAAAAGAGGTCTTCCATCCACTGGTTCATTCCCCAGTGGCAACAATGGCAAAGGGCTAGGCCAGCCCAGGCCAAAGCCAGGATCCCAGAACTCCATCCAGTTCTCCCATGTGAGTAGCAGGGGCCCAGGCACTGGGACCCTCTTCTGATTTTCCAGGCGCATTAGCAGGGAGCTGGATCAGAAATGAAACATCCAGGACTCAGACCAGCATTCTAACATGGATGTGGCCCAACCTGCTGTGCCCCAGAGCTGCTTTTAAGGGAAAAACAAACAAACAAACAAACCTGACACTTGTTCTTTAATGTTTCAAAGACTCCGCTATAGTTTTACTATCTTGATTTTATGTAAATGCTACTCTGATACAGTCCCCTTTTAGTCCATCATTTCTAGTTTGGAAATATCTGATTATCTTAATCCCTGGCTTTTCATTTTGTCATATGTTGGTTGAAATATCAGTATTATTAGTGTGTATAATTTGTTTCATTTTTATTATTCCAATTCAGTGCCAGGTTATTTAGCTACCAGGGCACATTAGATTGTCTTCAAAAAGCCCTTGGTGTTGACTTGAATCCTTTTCCTTCGTCCCACGATGCTGGCAATCACAAGCCTATTACTGTGTATAAGTACACACCAGGTTACTTCTCTGTGAAAATACTTGCCCACATACTCTGCTACTGCTTTCCTTCTAACCACATTAGATTGTGTGTTTTCCCTGGGCAGCTGGGCATCTGATTGATTGCCAAAAGGAATCATTCTTAATGAACTTTTTCTTCAACTTGATCCAGTGTTTGGTTGGACTAGGGTAGGTTTTTAACAATCTTAATACCTACAAATTTATCCACTTCATAAAATAAAGTGTAGTCAACTAAATTGCTCATTATACAAATCATGTCTTTTCTCTGGCATAATATTTTACCCAGGTAAACCTTTTGTTGGTTCTGCCAGGTTGCCATGGAAACAATCCACTTAACTATCGTTCTTAAGAACCCTCTAGAATGCCTTAGATGGGGCTGTCTACACTAAACATGTGTTAGATGTTCGCTGCATGGTAGAAGTTAGGCTGGCTGCTGGGGCTTACAGAAAGGGCAGGACAGCTCCCCAAGTCTGGGCCGCTGTAGGGACGTCCAGTACTAGGTACGCCAGGAATTTCCTCCTGGCTGGTCACAGCAGGTATTGCACTCCACCCCCTTCCCACCTCAGTGTGGGCTTGGCTTTGGGCAGAACTCAGAGGGCTTCTTAGTCTACAAGACAGAAAGCTAGATTTCACTTTTAGTTTAAGTACTCTGACCTAGTAGTTTTAACTGAGTAGGCATTTGGACAGTTCTTCTGTTGAGTTTTTCTTGAAGAATGGATTTTCCAACAATCTCTGAAGTTAAAATATCTAAACTTAGAAAGCGGCTCAAGTGATATTATCAGACAGACCCTGCAAAGAGTCTTAACTCTAGTTGTATTTTTTGAAGTCAGAAAGACTGGCCTGTTCTGTGCCTTTAAGAATTATTTAGGAGCTAGTGCTGTGGTGTGTAGATGCCACCGCAGCCTGCGGTGCTGGCATCCCATGTGAGCGCTGGTTTGAGTCCTGGCTGCCCCACTTCCAATCCAGCTCTCTGCTATGGCCTGGGAAAGCAGTGGAAGGTGGCCCAAGTCCTTGGGTCCCTGCACCCAAGATCTAGAAGATGATCTAGAAGATCTGGGAGATCTAGAAGGAGCTCCTGGCTCTGGATGGGTGCAGCTCCGGCCATTTGGGGAGTGAACGAATGGATGGAAGGCTTCTCTCTGCCTCTGCCTCTCTGTAACTGCCTTTCAATAAATAATTTTTTTAAAAAGGAATATCAGTTATTTTCAATTAAAATTATTAACTTAATGAATTTTCACCTGTATGAAGACAAACTTTTTAGGTGGATTGTAGGAAAACAGAAAAAATTTCTACAGTTAATTTCCTAATGGTTAAATTTGCAAATTAATTCGACTACTTAGCATGGGTCTTTAAACTAGAGTTGTTATTTTTAGATGTGAATTTGGATATTGGATCTGGACACGACACATGTGGAGAGACATCTTCAGAGAGTTACAGTTCTCCGTCTAGTCCACGACGTGATGGAAGAGAAAGTTTTGAAAGTGAAGAAGAAAAAGACAGAGGTTTGCTTTGGCCAAGGAAGGGGGCAGGGTAGGGAGAGGTAGGGCTGGGGTGAAGGGAAAGATGGGTTCTCTCTCAAAGTCAAAGAATTTTCTGTTTCTTTAAGTGCTGTTGCTGGGTTTAAATCTAACTGTTACAGAGGGTATCTCAGAGACTGTTGGATTACCTAGGTTGGTCCTCTAAGCGCATTTCACTGTATGTGAAGTTAAATAGGAAAGAATCATAACAAAGCAAAAGATCAAAACCAGGTGTGCTGAAAGGTGCACATGTTTGTACTTTGTTTTCCTGGCTGGCTCTTTGTCATCGGAAGACGTCCTTCTTTGTCTCTGCTAACAGTTCTTGTCTTAAAGTCTACCTTACCCGATAGTAAAGCCACTCCAGCTCTCTTCTGGGTCCTTCCTGTGCGTACTTGCATTCTTTCCTTTTACTTTAAACCCTATTTGTGTCTTTAAAGTGTATGTCTTATAGACAGCATATTGCTAGATCATGCTTTTTTAAAAACCTATTTTGCCAGTCTGCCATTTTTTTCCTGAGTGTTTGGTTCATTTACACTTAAATGTAATTATTGGTAAGGTAGGATTTACATCTGCCCTCATGAATTTGTTTTTTGTATGTATTAATCCTTCAGTTCCTCCTTGGTGTCAGCCAGCAGTGCGAGGCTAGGTGTAGGCAGGAGCGTAGCCTTCTAGATTGCCAGAAATATTTCAAAACCTTCTGCGGGCTTCTTATCTCCCAGTTTTTTTTTTTTTTTTTTTTTTTTTTTTTTAGTTTTCTGATGAGCTCCTTGAGCCCCAGTGGCAGTGCTGCGTCAGGCGTCTGTGTTGTTTCGACAGATGTCCTGTGAGTAACAGCTGTGAAGGAAGAGTGAGCTCAGGCTTCCAGACAGGTCACACAGTGCCAGGCCACTGGTGATGGGCTTTGGGGGACCTTCTGGCTGTTTGTTGTCATAGCTGCTGCAGGTGAGAGACTGTTAGTTTACAGGCTGCTGCAGAGCTGGAGAAAGGGAGGATGGCATCAGGCAAATTCCTCGAGGCTCTGTTTGCCTGAACACACACTTTTCAGACTGCCGCAAGCCTTTAGCTAATTTCCCCAGTGTTCCCATTGTGCTTCTGGGAGAAGTCGCTCTTTGGCGGTCCTTACTGTGCCATTCTGGGCTGGAAGTGCAATCGCTCTGAAGATCCTCCTTTAGATGTCATGGCACCACCTGGTGGTCATAAGGTGTTCCCCACCGTAGCAGACAATACCAAGTGATCTGTCTCAGGTCACCCAGGGATCTGCCTGCCACACTGTTTGAGCCAAGCATGGGCAGCCTGCAGCTGTCCAGGAGCTCAGGGGCACCAGGTTGTGTTTCAGGGAGCTGTGTGTGTGTTGTTCCATCACCACGATTGAAGTCCACCTTTTCTTTGTGGTTATTTCTCGTCACATCAGACGTAGCCTGTAGCATGTGGTGGCTCTACCCCTAGTTCTACCGATCTGATGTTATACTACCCTTCTGGCCTGCAGCTGGCTCATGAAAGAAAGTGACAACCACCTCTCACAGAGCTAGTAAGAAGCTTAAATGAGAGAGTCGTTATGCCTTAGGCAGTCAGGCTAGCTTTCTGTAGGATATACAAGATTCTGTAAGAAACACAAATCATTCAGTGGCTCCTCATCTTACACTGTAGTTTGACATCCTTGTCAGTTGGGTAACTCTGCAGCACCCCATACCTGTCATCAGGTGGGCTTAGGCGGGGAATTTGCCCATTTTCAAGTTGGCTATGGTTAAATGTGAGAAAATGACTTCCCTACATGAAAGACTCACGTAGGGCTCCCGAAATCCGCAGAGGACATACATCATGGGAGAGAGCTTTGGTTGTTTAGAATTTAAAAAGGTCGCTTTGAGAGGCGCGCGGCTTGTTGTGAGTCATAGTGGTGTGTTGAGACTCTGCTTTCTGAAATCAGTATTAAAAAGGGACAGGACCTCCCTCGAAATACCCAGAGGCGGCATGGTGCTCAGAAAGCCTTGTGGGAGCATTCAAAATCATGGGGCCATTGCTACAACTTAAGGCTTTAGGTCTGGTTCCTGGAGGAATTTAACTGACCATAGGAAAATGTTCCAGCTTCTTTTGGCCGTACATCCTTTAACTCAGCATGGCGTGTTGGTGTGATGCGGTGCCTTAAATAAGCCGTTGATTTTGTTTTGCAAAGTTTTGTAAGAAACAGCCGAGTTATTATGCTGGAGCCACTCATAGAACCTCCGCTACACAGCCCTTCAGTTGATAACACCTGAAACGTTTGGTGACAGTAAATACTTTCCATTTATCCTTTCTCCAGGAAGCCTAGTCTTTGTTATTATTGTTTCAAAACTGGCCTAAACATCTTAAGTTGAGTATAGCCAGTTCTTACCTTACTAAATGTAAACCTTAAAATTTTTAATTACTTTTAATGGATTGAATATAGTTCATATATATAAAATACCTAGTGTGATCAACTTACATGTATGAGGAGAACGATTTTAGAAGAGTCACTACATTGTGTTTGTTTTTTTTGACTACATTGAATTATCGTCTGCGTCCACATACGTGCAGCATCAGTTTGTGGTTAAACACTGTGAATCCAGGTTTCTCCATCGCCCCCTTTACACCACGGCCTAAAAACCTAGGAAGTCTTGGCTGAGTCACTGCTGTAGAAGTGTTAAGTGAGAGACAGTAGTAAAAATAAATACAATGCGATTTTATATCTGCCATTGTACTGTTTGGATTTATACTCGATGGCTTTAAATTTTCTTTCCTCTATTGAAATACTAAAGTAGTAAGAATATTCGATTCTTAAGAAAGACACTTCTAGTCACTATCTTTATAGTTTGAGTTAAGTATTATCTTGATTGAGCTGCTTTTAAAAATAGAATACCTGGCTTTGGCAGTGCAGAATTTGAATCTAAGGTGGATTGGCTAAAATTGATTGTTAGAAGAATCTAACACTTTCCTCACTAATAAGGTTGTTAAACACATTTATCCTGCACTTTGTTCGATCTCCAGCTAACTCGGTTTGTTGTTGTTACTGTTTAAATGTGAAAGGATAGAATCCGAGAGGAAGAGAGGGAAAGCACCCACGCATTGCTTCACTGTCCATGTGCCTGCAAGCACCTCAGGCGAAGCCAGGCTAAAGCTGGGAGCCAGGAGCTCAGCCCAGGTCTCCTGCCTGGATGGCAGGGACCCAAGTCCTCGAGGCATCGCCTCTGCCTCCCAGGATCTGCGTTTGCAGGAAGCTGGGGCCAGTGTCTTAATTGCCAGGCTACACACTAAACACTGCACGCCCTCACCTATATTACCTAAATCGTGTATGTAATGGTGACCCGTAGGAAGCCACAAATTAAAAGAAATTCATTTGAACATCAGGAAATGCGATAGAGGAGCACACTGCAAGCACTAGTGAATTTTGGACTAACTTGAAATTCTTACCTGGCAGGGAAGATGGGAGTTATGCTGGTGCTAATAATACTTGTTTGTATTTGTTGCCTTCAGACACGGACAGCAATTCTGAGGATTCTGGGAATCCATCAACAACCAGGTTTACAGGTTACGGTTCTGTCAACCAGACTGTCACAGTCAAGCCACCTGTTACGATTGCTTCACTAGGAAACGAGAATGGAAGTCTTCTAGAGGATCCCTTAAACTCACCCAAGTATCCACCAATTCCTTTTATGCCAACTCTACACTGTGTCCTGCACAATGGTGCCCAGAAGGCCGATGTTGTCATTCCTCCCTCCAAATCTGCTGATGGCAAGACAATTGGGATGCTCGTTCCTAGTCCTGTTGCTATTTCTGCAATCAGGGAGCCCACAAGCTCAGCCCCTGTGGGAATCCTAGGGCCCACAGCCCCCACTGGAGAAGCAGAGAAGCACCGCGAATTACTGGCTCCCCCTCTACCCACCCCGTCCGCCTTCCTTCCACACGGGAGCACTCCCACGTTGCATGCAACATTTCAGGGGCTGAAATCGCCACCGCCACCGGGCTCTGCCGAGAGTTGCACAGTGAATCTCCCGCAGCAGCCCACTGCAAGCCTGAGCATCGGATCACCAAACACTGCCTTTATTCCTGTCCACAGCCCGGGTGGTTTCCCAGGATCTCCTGTTGCTACCGCAGACCCCATCACAAAGTCTGCATCCCAAGTGGGAGGACTAACTCAAATGGTGCCTCAAATTGAGGGAAACACAGGGACAGTCCCTCAGCCTACCAATGTGAAGGTAGTTCTTCCAGCAGCTGGCCTCTCAGCTGCTCAGCCACCAGCTCCCTACACCTTACCAGGCTCTCCCCTCGCTGCCAGCGTGTTACCCACCCCAAGTTCCAGTGTGCTCAACACGGCAGCCACCGCTGCCCAGCCAGTGAGTGCCGGCATCAGTCAGGCCCCGTCGACGGGGCCTCCCGCTGTTCCCACCCACACCCCGGGCCCTGCCCCGAGCCCCAGTCCAGCTCTGACACACAGCACCGCGCAGAGTGACAGCACATCTTACATCAGTGCCGTGGGCAGCACGAGCGCTAACGGGACAGTGGTGCCACCACAGCAGATGGGCTCGGGTCCTTGTGGTTCTTGCGGGCGAAGGTGCAGCTGTGGGACCAATGGAAACCTTCAGCTAAACAGTTACTACTACCCTAACCCAGTGCCCGGCCCCATGTACCGAGTCCCGTCGTTCTTCACCCTGCCATCCCTCTGCAATGGCAGCTACCTCAACCAAGCACATCAGAGCAATGGAAACCAACTTCCTTTTTTTCTGCCTCAGACTCCATATGCAAATGGACTGGTGCATGACCCAGTCATGGGGAGCCAAGCCAACTATGGCATGCAGCAGATGGCAGGATTCGGGAGGTTCTATCCCGTGTACGCAGCACCTAATGTCGTTGCCAACGCCAGTGGTTCGGGGCCCAAGAAGAACGGCAGCGTGTCATGTTACAATTGCGGCGTAAGCGGCCACTATGCGCAGGACTGTAAGCAGTCGTCCATGGAGGCCAGCCAGCAAGGTAATCCCAGTAACTCGCAGAGGACTTGTTTTTGAGTTCACCCGGTTCTTCTCCTTTCCTTATTGATCATGTGATTCCGTTGTCACTGAGAGATTGTGCGTGCGTGTGTGTGTGTGTGTGTGCACGCGCATGTGTGTGTTTATGGATGTTGTATCTTCAATGACAAATCATAAAATGCAATGAGAAAAACCTAACGTAGACCCAGGTCACACAGAGCACAAGGAAGTTTAGAGGAATTGTTTCTAGTTAAGGAGCAGATGGCACTTTTCAAGGAGTGTAATGGAAATTTGCATGTAGAGTGTTAAATCTCTTGCTTGCAGCACTTTTTAAAGTTACACTCCTATTTGTTTCACAGAATAAGCAAAATTTTAAAATACTGAACAACTAGGAAGTCACCCGGCCATCCGACTCCGAAGGGTTTAGTCCCTGTGCGTCCGCAGCTGGCGTTCTCTCCTCCTTGCAAATGTTAAAGAAATCCAGATGCTATTGCATTTTACCTGCGTAAAGTAGCTAGGCGCTGGTTGGGAGTCAGGGAATCTCCAGTCTAATATTCCCACCAGAAAAAAGTGCTCTGAAAAAAGTATGAGTAAAAGGCTCAGTTCAGCACTGACCTCAAACTGTCAGCTTTCACTCGCATTGGCCTTGGAAATTTTGTCAGACCTTGCTTAGGAAGAAAAGTCTCGAGTTGGGAGTGCATACACTCGGCATTTTTGAAGGAAGAGCTGGTTTGATAGCTTTAGGTTGAAGTCCAAGCACAAACTTGACGACTCTGTGCAAGGAATTGAACTTGCCCTTCCGGAGCGGCACGAGTGCGGCGGGTGCCTTCCGAGGAGCATGCCTGTTTGCTGTCTTGTGGTTTGCGACGCGAGTCTTGTGAGCGGTCACTTAGCAGTTCTGTCTTTCCCGTTTTAGGCACTTACAGACTGAGATACGCACCTCCCCTCCCCCCTCCTAATGATACGTTGGATTCTGCAGACTGAACCGAGTAAAGCTTCCTACTTAATACCCTCGAGTGTGGGAAGTCAGGGGTGTGGAGGGGAGGAAAGGAAAGGTATTTGTTTCTTTGTCTATACATTTCCTAGATTTCTATGCAGTTGGGGATTTTCCTTTCTCTTGTACCAATGTCCAAAACGAGCGGACGCCGTGCCCTGAGCCTGTGGTTTCGTGGCTCACGGCGGGCAGCCTCCAGACATGCAGCCACGCGGTCAGAGGGAGGACGTGGACGCGGGCTCTTTTATTACACTGAATACTTGCTGTGTGCAATGTTTACTGAATCTTTAAAACTGTGTATTTGACTTTTTTTTTACAACACTGGTGACAGTCATATGGTTTCGAAAAAAAAGAAACTTTGCTTCTTCCCCAGCTTTTTCACTTTGACCCTGAACTACACGTTTCTCCCCTCCCCTCCCCTCACGCTGCCTGCTGCCCAGGAGTCCCCGGCAGTGTCCCCGGCTCCCACTTTATAAACGCTCTGCTACAAACAAGGGCAAAGGTTCCACCTTCATCGATGGGACAAATCAAATTCCCCAAACCGTGTGTATATATGCAACGAACAGCATCCCGTAAATGCATACATGCAGCAACACAAATGAAAATAAGTGGAAGAGGAAGAAAAACCATATGAAGCGAAAAGATAGGACATATGAAATAGACAAAAAGCTTTTTCTTAAAAAAAAAAAAAGGAATAAAAAAAGCAACCCTTTTTACTTCCATCGTCCCTCCCTAGCCTGTTGCTTCAGAGAGAGCCAAGTGAACACTGGCGCGAGTCTGGTCTCCGTGTGCTTGTGTGTGTAGTGAAGTCGGCAGCCAATCGTACTTGTCGCCTACCACCAAGTCATGCTCGCAGACACTACTCAAGTAAAGATTTCTTCTTTTCCTACACCAACTGTTACAGTGTTAACGTTGTGTTCCAAATGTGTGTGGTTTATCGCAATCCGAACAGCGCTGTGGGTCTCTACAAAAAGTCAGGGATTTGTTCCCTAACCTGTCTCTTGTAGCAAAGTCACTTTTATAACAGTTTACCACTCTGCTTGATCATAATGTGAAAGACTGAATTCTGAGTGTGTGAAGATGGTATTAATCATGTCAGTGTCATGTCACTAAGTTTAATGCTGCTGTTTAAAAACAAACTTTTTTTAAAAGCCAATCTATGTACTAAATTGCTTCCAGGTAATTTTTGATTTCCTGAAGTGCACTGAGGTTATCTGGAAGATGGGGTGTATTTTTGGTGACTGCTGCATTCCACAGCGATGAACAAGCACGCGGTAGAGTCCTAGCTTAGGGGTTAGGGGTTTTGTTTTCCCGTTCAGTAGAGAGCAGAAATGCTAGACCCTTGTTGTGTGGAGTAACCTTGGTATGCAGCAGAGGAACTCAAGTATCTGGTCTGGGTTCAGAAGCCTAACAGATCGCTAGACAAAAGCAAAAACTTGAAAAAGAAGCTTAATTGAATGCTTCCTAAGTAGCATTTATATTTATAGCACCAATGTACAGTTTGAAACTTTCAGGGGTGGGGATCATGGGGAAGGGGGGGGTGTGACGGGGTAGATGAAAGCTTTAATTTAGAAAGAAAAAGTTTGAGTAAAGGAAATTATTTTGAGTAAATATATTTTATTTGATCTGGGTATTTTTGGACCACATTAAATTAATTGTTAAGCTGCAGTTGAGTTGTTAGTGAGAGTGCTGATAAGCCACGTACGGGGCGCGTTGTGAATCACCTGCCGGTTGTACTTTATGGAGCTTATTTTATGATTTAAAATACTGTACTGTACACAGGAGGTGTGTCACCTCCTCCTTATTTGTATGTTTACCATATACTTTGATATTTGAAATGTTATGTACTGGAAAGGCCACTTATATTTCTAGAACAGATTGGATTTTATGCAACCTTTTTTCCTTGAATTAACAGCAATAAAAAAAATGAAAAACAGCTTAAGAATCGTGCCTTATTGCAAATCTTGTGAAAGATAGGGTGTGCTATATGGTGGTTAAGGTCAGCGGTGAATCCCAGTTACCCACTCGGGGTTCCTCAGTGTTCCCCAAAATGACCTCGCTGGGTAGGTTGTCTGGGGGACTGCCGGGAGGAGGGGCCTGCACTTCTGCGTGTACCGAGCACGTACCAGGCCCCAAGACTTAGGGCGGTGAGCAGTAGAGGCCTCGGCAGCCGCTGCTGCAGGTGCGGAGGGCCGGACGGATGGCCTTAACCTTGATACTAGGCCGTCAGCGTCAGCCAGCCGGCGATCCTGGTGTTCCGATTCCATTGCTTCTCTCTTCTGTTGTGTCCTGAGCGGTAACTGACAAGACACGCCCCCACAGTGCGTGTTGGTCGGGAGCCCGCCTCCGGGGTAACCTTGCGTCTTGCCTGCCCCTTCTCGGTCTCCCAGCGCATCAAGGTCGCCGCTGTTCTGTCTTCACACATCTCACAGCCGCCACAGCGCACAGCCTGTGTCTGCGTCTCCTGGGCCAGGCGGCCTGCAGCCGACCGTGCAGGGCTGGCCCTGCCCTCTGGCGTTGCGGTCCCGAGGTTCCCCGCCTGCGGCTCCTGCATCTTCACTCCTAACGCCATTCTCATGAAGAAGTTGTCGATCTACGCAGTTTTCCAATGCGCGTTTTCCATGAACTTCTTGCGGCCCCCTTGTATGGACAGTAGTTTTTCTGTTACTCTGTCAACGAGCAGTTGACTGCTCCTCATCTTGTCAGGGCTACTAAGAACAGTTTTGTGCTGGTCTTCTGGTTGTGGATCCGAGTTCTCCAGGGTATCAATCCACCGGATTGGGGGATGTGCAAATCATTTTGCAAGATTTGCCATGTCGTTTATCCAAGTGATTGACACACTGGTGGTTGATCAGAAAGCCCTGGGTATCTACCCCGACACCTGGCCTCGGCTGCAGGGGGCAGGCGAGAAGAACCCTCTGGTACGGGCAGGGTTGATGGTCTCCTGGTATGTGGGGCAGGGGAGCGACAGCAGAGGTGTGGGGTTGCTGGCGGGAGGGGGACACGCACGCCCCCACTCGGGGTGAAGGTGGCGGGCACATTCACTCGGTGTAGGTAAGGCAGGTAAAGTGTCAGGCCGGAGGACTGCGTGTGGATTGGACCGAGACGCAGGAGTGACCGAGCTGTAGAGAGGAGGACAGATTGGATGACACGTGGGGACATGGGAGAGTTGAGGAGAGCGCCTGGGGTTTCAGAGGCGGGTTAGGAGGCAGCCGGGCCTGGACCAAGGTGCTGGCAGCACTGGCTTGGCCAGGCCTGTTAAGAGGCTGGAGACGAGCAGACGCAGCGGACCTCCGAGCTCCCTTTCCCGCGGGCGGCTCTGGGGTGCGGCGGGAGGAGTGTGGGGAAGGGCTGAGGCAGAGACGCCCTGGTGCCCGCCGAGTTCGGCTTTGGTGACCAGGAAGCCCTGTGAGCAGCTCGCGCTGCAGGCGGCACTGCACTGCCCAGGAACGCGCGCCCGGCGAGGGCGGACAGGGGCCGCCGGGGAGCACACGCCTCGCAGGGCAGAGCCCGCTCTTGGTCACGCAGGTCCTCGCAGTGCCGCAGAGCTGGCTGCACCATGCGAGTTGCCTTTGCCTCCTTGGACGGGCAGCACCTCGTACTCAGGGAAGCATCCGTTTGTACTCGGAAGACGCCTTTTTCCAGTGGCACACTGGTCCCAGAGCTTGCTGCGGCTGAGGCAGCGGAGCCGCGTGGAGGGAGCCACGCTGTGGCACAGTTCCCCGAGAACCCTTCCGCCGCTCCATCTCGAGGTAGAGGGCAGTGCTGCCCCTGCCCGCCCAGCCTCCCTCCCTGGAGGGCTTGGCTGTTTTCAGACAGGAGTTTGGAGGTATGGGGGCACGGAGTGAGGCACACGGGTCACTGCCGACTGGGTCGTCCTCTGCGGGTGTCGCCGGGGCCCTTGCAGAAAGGGCGTGTCGTTTGCCGGGAGCATGCGCGTGCTCACTTTGGATTCCTGAGGTCATCCTAATGTTAAAGTCTGACGTCCTCGTCACTGCCTAGGGCGCAGTGCCGCACCTGTGCACGCACAAATAGCTTCCCTTGGCTACAGCTCAGAACTTCCGGATTCTTAAGCGCTGTGCTCGTTGGACAGACAGATGCCCTCTGTCGGAACGTGGTGCACGCAGACCTGTGTCACGCCTGGGAGCCTTTTAGGCCTGCTCTTTCCCATCCTAGAGCTGAGCATGTGACACGCGTGGGGGCCTCAGACCCGTCCCACAATCACCAGGGACCCTGAATCCCAAGATCCTGTTTAGCTCCTGGAACCTGGGGCGTGGCGGGGTGGGGGGGGGGCGTTGAGCGGGGTGGGGGTTCTTCACTCTTTTTCCTCTTGCCGCTCTCACCTGCTCTCTGTAGAGGGCAGAGCCAGCCTTGCCCCAGAAGAAATCGCTCCTTGGGAAGCAGTGCCACCTGGTGGGGGACGAGGGCAGTGCAAGCAAGCAGATGTAACTTCCGGCTGGCCTAGTGTAGGGACACTGACCGGAAGCCTGTGCCCGGTGCTTTCAAAGGCTGCAGGCCGCCGCCGCCTCCAGCACCGGGATCTGTGCGCGCCCCGACGGCCCTCACGGGCTCCTGTCCACGAACGGGCTGGGATCTTCCTCCCCGCTCCCCAGGTCAGGAACCGGGGGTTTGGAGCCGTGACGTGCTGCGGACACCCCCTTCCTGTCCCCAGTCAGCATCTCCACGCTGAGCTAAACGCAGCGGCTTTGGAAAACTGTCCAAATAAAGCGAAGGGAACCCACGGATGTCCCGACCACGCGGCCTCTGGATTTCCACGGGAGGCCGGGCCCGGCCACGCGCCGGCGGGCGGGCGGCCTCTGTCGTGTGCCTCCTTGCGGTTGGTGGCCACGGGATGGCAAAGCCGCCGCAGTAGGAAAGCGCCGTCTAGCCCGGTTGTAGACACGGGCCTCGGTGCCGGCCTGGCCGGAGGCTGAAACACAGATGGCTGGGCTTGCTCCCTGTGTGAGAAGCACGAGGAGAGGACGGGAGCTGCGACGTGGACCCAGACGCTGCCCCAGGCCGCCCCGTCGCCCAGACACAGCCGCAGAGCACGCGAGTAAAGACGAGGGCAGCCAAGCAGCCCCCGCAGGGAAACCGCGGCCGCCCACCCCCAGGGCCCTGCTGAGCGCCAAGGACGCCAGCAGGTTGCCCGGCGGTCGCTGGAGTGCAGCCCCAGGCACAGGCCCCAGCACCTGCCCACGTACGCGCCGGCGCCTCGGGCTGACGGGCGGTGTAGACTGGCTGCAGGGCTTCCATGTGGCCTCGTGCACACAGCGCTGTAACGTGGCGCGCAGTGGACTCTGACTGGGGGGGTTGTGTGCCCACTGGAGACCAGACGCAGCTCAAGCGTCGGCCTCACCACAGCCCGGTGAGGCAGGGGAGGGGCTGGGCGCCATTTTGCAGGCAGGGAAATCGAGGCACAGGGACTGAATTCGTGTCCACGAGCCAAGAGCGACCGAGCGGCGGCGAGCCTGGCGGGGTGGCCGCAGGGGCGCTGCTGCACGGCTCCTTCGCGTCCGGCACCAGCCGCCAGCGCTGTGTGCCTTCAACCCCACCGTCTCACTGCCCTCTTCAGACCCTTTCTCTCACCCGAGGGCTGGCGAATGCCGTCTCCCAAGTTCCGCCCAGTTCCACAATCCTGCGGCTCGAAGCTTGCTTTGTCGCTTTGTGCAGTTTCTCAAGGTGGCTACTCCTTACCCTTACGCTTCATTTTGGTTTGATCTCAAGTCCTTCTTTGGTGCGGTCGGGAACCTACACCCCACCTGTCACACACCCTGGCTGTGGGATGGGGGCGTCTCCAGGTGCTGGAGGAAGAGCAGAGAAAAGGCTCGGCTCTCAGGCCATCCGGCCACTAGGTGGCAGCATAAACATGGCCAGCGCTGAGCGGGGCCACGCCCCTCCCGCAAAGTTCCTAGGCTTTTCCCCAGTGGGATCCATGAAGTTTTCGTTTTCTGGGACTGAGACAAAAAAAAAAAAAAAAAAAACCCAGCCCTAATGACACAGGGAAAGCGCAAGATTCAAATTTCGGTGTCTACAAGATTCAAATTTCGGTGTCTACAAGTAAAGTTTGGGGAACCTACTTATCATTTACATATCATCTGTAGCACAGTGGAATGGTCAATGGTCACAACAGACGTGGCCCTCAACTCCTACTGTACAGACTCCAAGGAGCGCGTGGCCTCCCTGTGTATACCGCACCTGCTCTTGCAGTTACCGTCAAGGCCCTAAGCTCTGTCCTGCTGCCCCACGAGTAGGAATTTGCCACCTCCTGGCCATGCCCTTTTCTTCGCACCTGGCAGTGGTACTTGCCTACATTCAGTCACTCGGCTCAGTCTGGGGCACACGCAACTCCCACAAAGCAGCAGGTCTTGGGATCGCAGAGCGGGGAGCCGAATTCCGCCTGTGCAGAAGTGGGGAAAGACGGTCCGAGGACAGACACATCTTGGTCAGGCCACGAAGGGAGATGGCAAAGGAAACATCACCAAAGCTGCATTTCAGAAAGGCCACCAGCGGGTTTGGGAGGAGGGCGATGAAGGGGTCCTTAGTTGAGGCAGGGAGCCAGGAGGAGCAGCAGGTGGGAAGGGAACACAAGCTGCTGCAGGGGCGGACTTGGCAGTTAGAGTGACATCTGGCAAAGCCAGTCTTTCTCAGTCTGGCCGCTGGGCCACCTGAAGGGTGTAAGTAGAACAGACTCCTCAACCATTCCTCCTGCCAGACACATTCACCTAGGATGGAGTTTGCAGAGAGAGCCGAGCGGTCCATCAGATTGGGAATGAAAATTCAGAGATGTCGGAAAAGATCACGGGAATGCGCCCCGGGGCGGCGCTGCGGTGCAGCTAAGCCTCCGCCTGCCCTGCGGCGCTGGCATCCCACGTGGACACCCGTTCTTGTCCCGGCTGCTCCTTTTCCAAATCAGCTCTGCTATGGCCCAGGAAA